AAGCCTTTTGAATGTTTTGAACGTTTAAATTAAATCTAGTGCAGCTAATTATGGTTTACCTAACTTGGATTATACAAATAATTAGTGTAATTATAGACAACTAAGTTAACAAAATAGGTGCGTTTACTAAATTGCTTGTTAGTGTCTTTTAGAGTTAAAATACCTAATTAGTTTAGTTTTGATATTATTAAAAAGTTATGAAAAGTAAAAGTAAAATATTATTACCTAATATAATAAATAAATCCTGTCAGTGGCGAATTTAGGAGGGATTTGGGGGGTTCAAGCCTCTTCCCCCGAAATTAAATAAATTAAAAATTGGCACTAAATTTAGCTACTAGCTGCTTCTTACTTAGGTATTTAATAAAAATACAAAATATCAGTATTATTAAATTAAAAAAGGTAACTATTATACTGGGTCAAATCTATAATTTAAGTCATCCGAGCAAAAAGACTACATTATCACAAAAATTAGTTACTCGGTATAATATTAGAAACAAAAGTACTTTAATAAAGTATATATATTTATCTTCTTTATTTTAAATTGTAAATAAGGTTTAGTCACAAATTTTAATTAGGCACGGGCGAATCTTGCATACTTATTATACTTGTTTCACTACAAATATTGTTAAGTAGATATTACTAAAAGTCGGTAAAACAGATTCCTAACACCAATTTTTGTATAGATGTTGCTCTAAACAAATACTTATTTAAAATAATAAGTAATAAATTAAGAATTAATTTATTACTTATTAATTTAAAGTATAGAGCAACATCTATACGAAAATTGGTGTTAGGAATCTGTTTTACCGACTTTTAAAACTAAAATTTCACTTTGTAAATTTTTTTTCTAAAAATCAAAATTTCTCCTATAAAAATGTACTAGTAACCGTTTAAATCCGATATAGAAGCAGTTTTGTACAGTAAAAGTGAACAGGATGTTTTATGCTTAATCGGCAAATACGGCAAACGTGCATATAAACTTTTCAAAGATTGGCATCAAGAAAGTATTTAATAATTTTGTATTTTAGTATTGAGATAATAAAATAATTTTCCCATTTTAGTGTTATTTTACAAGCAGGGCACTTTATTTTGACGATTGTAAGAAATTTGATACATGTTAACTAACTTATAGATAACTTTAGCTCGTGACAAAAACGCCATAAAGTCACAGGTTGCTAATGTGTATTTAAAAGATTACTTAGTGTGAGAAAAAAAGATGGGAGCATAAAACATATGAAAACCTTAACACCCTGTATCTCAGGAAGGAGCAATACGATAGGTAAACCACTTTAAAATCAGCGAGAGATTATAGAGAGATTATCCCTAGTAGCAATGGAATTGGACAAGATTCTAAGTCAAGATACTTGGAGAAGCACTTTGTAAAGAATTGGACAATTCTTGACCAAGACTCTTGATCAAAATTCTTTATCCAGACTAGTGGCAGACTTGGACAAGTCTGTGACCAGATTCTTGGCCAAGAATTTTTACACGATTACACGTTAAATAGGAACTTTCAATTCAAGATTTTTGGTCAATACAAAATTTTGTTGAACTTCAAAAGTTAAGAATATTACTAAAAACATTAATTTTTCACGATTTCTTTCCAGTAAATTCGGTTTTTATTCATAAATCTGGTAAACAATAGAATTAAAAAAAAATTGAAAGAGTTAAAGTTTTTAATTTTCTATGTTAAAAAAAACCAGGTGCTCGTAAAAATAAACATGTATTTTATAATCTTTCATGTTCATAAAGAGTAAACTCTAGTTATGCGTCAGAGCTGTCACACACTTTTTTTTTTAATTTTTGATTTTTAGAAATAACAATTTTTATTTTTCAAAAAATCAATTTTTTTCTCAGCTAGAAGACGAATCCAATAAGCTCTTATTCGTATTTTCACATAAACAAAAAAACTATACTCATTTCCTACAGAGAAGTCACTTCTCGACTAGTATACATTATTGTGAATGATACTACTGTAGAATGAGAACCTCTACTCTATAGGATAGTCCCAAAGTTTAGCAATAGATGGCCTCAGATTTCTGGTCAAATTCTTGTCAAATTCTGGCCACAGTCTGGATCAAGTCTTGCCCAATAATCTTGGCCAAGAATCTGGAACAATTCTTGTACAATTCTTGAGCAAAAATCTGTCCAAAGTATCTTGACCCATGCTGCCCTACTATGGAGAAAGGCAGTAACTACAAAAAATTCTAAATGCGTTTTCTTGGGCTATGATAAAGCTATGGACATTTTGTATCTTAATTCAACAAAGAAATGCAGTGAACTATCTTATAAGTTAAATAAATCAGTTAAATACCTACTGCTTTTTATAAAAATGTAGTTTATGCTAATTTCCCACAAATTTTTTGTTTAGCAGTTACTGCCTTTATCCATAGTTGGGCAGCATGCTGGGCCAAGACTTTTCCGGAATTGCTACTAGGGATATGGACGTTGTGTTCTAATTTTTCCTTATGAGTCGTTATGAATAAGAAAAAATCCTTATCAATAAGAAATTTCTCTTAGCGACGCGTTGCGCATCCGTTAATTCGTATGCGATTTTTATTTTTAAAAATCAGTGGTTTAACCCTCGGAGCAAAATTTGGACATATTATGCTTTCAGAAACTTTTTAGTTAAAATAACATTGTACTTCAAGTTCTGCTACTAAAACCTGGCACATCCTGTATATTATACATATATATACAAATACATAAATTTGAGTGAAACCCTGCATACATATGATTAAACCATTATTAAATTTTTGCAGAGGAATGCTTTAGTTTGTAATTTTAGAGCAAGTATAGTAAACAATAGTTACATAGTTTAATATAGTTGGTTTGGTTAATGTTACACATATTAGATTCGTTAATGTGGCTTATATTGCATGTGCAAGCTCGTTTAATAACTTTGATGAACACATAAATAGAACATTATTGAAAATTCAGTTAAAATTAATTTGTGCGCTTTAGTAGAGTGCCCACTGCATTTTGTATTTTTAGTTAGCTATAGCTACTATCGGCTACTATAGTAGTTTTAATAAATATGTAGTTTTAATAGTTTTAATAAATATGTAAAATTAAAAAAAAAAGAGAAAATACAAAAATTTTGTATAATCTATTATTACGAGTATATTTTTAAGCTGGGTAAGTTATATACAAAAATACAAACAATAGAGGGTGTTTTATCGAAATAAGAATGTTTGTATCGTCTTAAATATCGTCCTAAATTAACTAAATTTAATTATGTTTTTGATCAATTTTAAATCAAAGACATTTTTGGACTAAAATTAACGATTTTCAAGTTTTATCTGATTTATATAGCTGTCCACTAGGGTGTGCCAAAAACAAGATATCGTTTTTTATTCGATGTAACATAAAAATGTATTAGATTATTCCGAAATAAAAATTCAGTAAAAATCCCAACTTTTAATTTCAATGTTTTAAAATTTTCCTGCTTCATTTCATGTAGGTTAATTTATTGGGCTCTTAATAGTAAACTTATAAAGTTTATTTTTATTAGTTTTTGTTAAAAAACGCGTTATTTAGATCTATGTAGAAACTAAACCATGGACAATAAGTTAAAAAGTTTAATTGTAATTTCGTAGTACTTTTAATTGCCTACAAAACTGTTTTGGACAAATTTATAGGACCATTAATGGTAGAAAAGTTATATGCTCATAAAATTCTAAGTCTAGAAACCAAACTTTTGATGTTTGATGATAGCTATTAGGTAGTTCTTTAAATCACCTACAAAATTGTAATGTATTTTTTAATCGATATTTTGTTAAAATTACGCATTTTTTAGATCTAAAAACTAAACTACTGATGATGTTATAACGTTAAATTGAACTTTTGGAGTGCTTCACAACAAAATTGTTCCAAACAAATGTATTTGATCGGAACATTTTGTGGGAATTAACCTTAATTACAATAATGACACAATCAACAATAATTAAGTAACGTCAAACTTACTATATGCATTGTATCTTTATGTCAATTTTGTAATTAAGATATATTCATACAAAATGTCCCGATTTTTTTTACAGAATCTGGAAACCCTGCTAAAAAGTCTAGTAAATCGGGCACAGCTGTGATATTTTAGAAGTGAGCGATTTTGTGTTTAGTAATAATTCCTTGTGTGCTGTTTGGCAACTATTACTAAACTACGAACTGAAAAAATACAAAAACATTGTAAATGTGTCTTTGGAGTGCCAACCCACAAACTTACTACAAAAATACGAGAAAGCAACAAGAAAAAAAGAGTATATTACATTTAATGTAAAGATTCGTTTTTATTATACAAGCAAGGGTTTATTAGAAATTATTATTAAACCATTATAAACTTACATATAAAAACACAATTAAATAATTAATGAAATTCCCAGAATTAAACTAAAACCAATAAAATGCACAAGATAAGATATAAAATACCGCGCGAATGGCATAAAGCATAAATGCATAGCCGACTACATAAAAGAATATTATTGGGTTTGCTTTTAATACTATTTGATAATCATTCTGAAAGTTTTAGAGCATAGTATTTAAAAATCGACAAATTTATTAATAAATTGTGAACAGTTTTAATATAACTTAAAAAAATTAATATTGTAATTTATTCTTAATTAAAAAGTAATAAATTGTTAGTAACATGTTACTATAGAATATTATATCAATCCTTAAAATTTAGAATTTATTACCATTAACAATCAATAACCAACGAAATATAAATAAGTTTAAGGTAATAAACTGTTTTTGATTAATTAAATACATTAAATTTCATAAAGTCATCTTTCAAGTTTCTTTATACTATCTATAATTAATGACTTTTAAACTTTTTCCAATTATTCTTATAAATTAATAATGCATGAAAACTGATGAAAACTGAAAATTAAATAAACAAAGCAAATTTAATACAAATATTACAAAAAGCCACCAAAATTTGTCTGGTTATTTTTTACCTAAAGGAATTAATAATTATTATCTAAGCTATGATCTAAATTACTTACTATAAAAAATTGCTGAAAAACCTTATCTACCCGAGCACGTTAGTTTAGCAGACATTCGCTGACCGCAAGCGACTGAAACGCTGAAATTTCAGGCGGACAGCGTCGGCGGCGTCGGTACAAATTTCAGCCACTCCACAGGAGAGAGAAAAAAAATCACAAAAGAAAAAACAAGCCTGCCAGACAATAAGAATTCCTCGTTGAGGATCATCTACAAAGAGTGCAGCTATTGTTTTAGAAGCATCATCAGGTACTCGTGTATATATTGCGTATCGACCGAACCACAGTGATTACAAATTTATAAATTTGGCGCTAATTGCAAAAAATATGTATCTATCCAGCAGGAAATAATTTTGAATTATTTTGAACTTTTAGAAAATGCCTACATTTAAGTTTTCTCAATTTCTAGAAATTAAAATACATTGGGTTGTCGAAAAAATGTTTGAAATAAGAATAGCTTGTTTCCAAATAAATAAATAAATTTATCAGTTTATCCACGAGTTTCTGGGATATATTTTTTAGTGTATATTTTACAAGACCCTGTATATATGTAAACTAAAAAGGCTATTATTATTTAAATGTCCAAAAGGATTATTGTCTTTCTAGTACTTAAAACCAAGTAGATGGAACACCCTGTAAATAATAAACTTTTTCAGCTTCAAAGTGACTTTGGTGTGACCATAAATTTAATCTACATTACTGTGCGACAGTCTGAGCTTAAAAAATCAACCCTTGAATACGCCGAACTAAAAGTTGGGGGCGAATTTTCAGGGTTTCACAAACTGATGACTCATCCCTATGCGAGCTTAAAAACGTTTTTTGTGTAAAGGTGAATGTCATCTGTCATTAATGGATACTCAATCCGTTAGGGGATTATTTACATTTATTGTTTACGTATGGCATTTTTTATTTGCAAAGGCAACATTTCCGGAAAAACTTGTTTCAAATAGAAAACTTGCTATGATTGTCTGCAATCTCTAATGAACTCATTTCTTTTAAAACGTGTTGTTTATGTTATAAAATCCCGGGTAAAATCCTTAAAAACACTTTTACACCATTTAAAAACATTTATAAAATTATATTAAACAAGCATGATTGTTTATTTTTATTTAATAAACCTTTTATAGTCTATAAAAGTATGTTATAAATTATTAAAACTCTATAAAACTAATTTTCTTTACCATTGTGTATAATTTTTTAATAAACATATTATTTTCTATAAAAATCATTTTTTGCACTATTAAAACTTTATACAACCTTTAAAAGCCCTACAAAATATCCTATAAAACCCATTTAAATCATGTATGTTTACAAACAATCCAATCAGAGACATTTAAACATTTACCTGTATATTTATACACATAACTACTTTCACGCGTACGAAAATATTCACAAAATCCACAAACTCACTCAAACAACCAAACCTTCACTAAAACTCCATCTATTTCACTTAACTTTCACAGAAATTACCGAACTTTCTCACTTTTTCGCGTTATTTCAAGTGTTTTTTGAGGTTTTAATTATTACGTGCGAAGGACTCGTCCAGATCAAGTCGCTCATGCGGCCATATTGATGCTTTTGTTTTTGGTTTACTACCGGCTTGTAGTACCGCGTTGCCAAGTTTATTGGTGAGAAGTCCTGGATTTCTTATTGGAATTGTATTGTATTGCAAACATTGGTGTTTTGAGTTATTTTAATTATTATTGTTATTATTATTACAATGATATTTATTAAATTTTTTTCAAGATTATAAATTCTAATTAGTTTTGATTGCGTGAGAGTTACTATTTATGTTAGAAATTATGCTATATTATAACAAATTAAAACATTTCAAAATAATAAACTCTTAAATTTATTAAACTATAAAATAATGCTAGATAGGTAGGTTTGTTATATTTAACTTTTTATTTCATTTTGCGATATTTACAAATGGCGTTCCAAAAAAATTTAAACTTGTTAATATAAGATACAAAGTTTTAATTTTTTATACAAACTAATATAAAATATTTTTTCAAAAAAACATCTTATTTAAATTTTTACCATTGCAACAATTAGAAAATGTAGGCTTTCAATGCTTAAAAGTTTTGAAATCGTAAAAATTATTTTATAATTCATAAGTTATGAATCATTACCATACCTATATACAAATAATTTTATAACTATAAAAAATATTTTGATATATTTTCTAAACAGGGTGTATCGGGAGGAAAGTAAAAAATTTCAAGGGCATAAAATCAATGACAAAAACTTAAATGTTATCAGATTTTTTATTTTATTTTTCGAGATAAAAGGTTTTGAAAAAAAAATTGTATACACTAATTCCCAAAAATTTTAATTATTGTTTTCTTATACCATATCGAGCAATACTTCAACAGTGTCAAGTTGACAGATGACAGATGCAAAAAAACGAAAAACAATATTTAATTTTTTTTTATTGTTTTCATGCTCAGTATACACCCTTAAAATTTTGCACTAGTTTTAAATTGGATTAAAAAATTGGATAAAAACCTAATTGAAAAATTTAAAAGAAATCGGAAAATGTTATCCAACCTGGCTACGTGTCTTTTTCCACGTTTTCTACGTCATATGTATGTAACCTGTCAAAGAATTACTCGACATTATAAGACAACAATGATTAATATATTGTGTAAATTATTATTATATATATATTTGTTTATATATAGGATATTTTTTCAAAACCTTGTATCTTAAAAACAATAAAAAATTGGATAATAACATTTAAGTTTTTTATAGTTTTTATGAGTAGAATACACCCCTGAAATTTTTCACTTTCCTTCCCTGTATAGAAATATAGTAAAATATTGTACATGTATAGAAATATAGTAAAATATATTTTACTTTTCTATAATTTTTATTATTTACGATTAATATTTACTATTTAAGCAATTTATAAATTTCCATCAGTTTTATTATCCATTTATTATATTATTTATTATTTTTAAAATAAAAATTAAACATTTTAAAATCATACATCAACTTTTTTCATTTCTGGGAAATTAACGTACATTCGGCAACGCTGTATAGTGCCCCCACAGTGTTAATGAACTTAGTGCGTGTTATTCAGGCAGAGGGCACCTGCGTTGTTATCCTTTTTGTATGTTAGTTGCTCTACTCACCGCCAGATGTCTCTTTTACCGGAAGAATCAATACTTATAGTAGTATACCTTAACAGGTAAGGAATTAGGTATTAGATTTCTTTATTTTGTGAAGGTAAACGTTGTGTGGGTTGGATACTGTACAATGTACAGGTGTCTGTTATAAATTGCATCGAAAGATTCTTTGTCTTAAACAAGTTCATTCGGTTGGAGACTTTAACATGGGATTACACAAGGAACTTTTTTTTAGAAAATTTGTTTTAATTGTTTTTAAATTTAAAATAGGTTTTGAAGTGGTCTTTATTGGCATTAAATAATTGTACATTGTTTTCTTACACTCTTGAAGATATAAATAAAAGTTTCCTAACCCCATAAATACAAAAAATGGTTCTGTTAATACTTATTATAATTAAGTAACCCTATTTAACATTTCCATGTTAAGTATTTGAATCAAATTCTATAATCCAGGTACTATTTACACTGTTATAATTTGTTTAGTAATATTGCTGTTATTATTTTATTGGATTAAACGTCTTTGCATGGTTTTGTGAAGGCGGCCATTAGTCCATTTCGAAATTTGTCCAGGGTTATGTCCGGAATGCACGTGTTTTTCATAACTGTGGAGGCGCAATTTGTAAGGTCATTGAGTTTTCTACAAAAAAAAAATAAAAATGGAATATTTTTATTCAACACCTGCATGAAAGATTGCGTAATTGTTCATTTCTCTTGGGCGAAATTGCATTTCACGGGATGAAGTTAGCTTTAAATTATACTTAACTAAAAGTGAAGTTGAAACTGTCTGACAGATGAGCTTTACTTAAATTTCTTAAGCCAGAATTGTTTCAGTTTATAAATCCTTAAAACAGGTTCAATTATGCGTTATTTTTACTTTTAACTTATTTTTTATTATAATGATAAGTTTTTATTTTATGTATAGTGCAATAAAACACTGTCAACTTAATGTGATTTATAATGGTAGGTCCCTATATTAAAGAACTATAGAAAAATCATAAAAATATTATAACCAATATGCAAAATATTATTTTACTAGTATCCTGTTTAAAGTAGCCAACCTATGGGGTAAACTACCTCATTACAGCACCGAAAGCTGTGTTACAATGAAATCATTATGAACGCAAAAAAGTGGGCGGAAGCGTACGCCTTGCCAAACCAGGAAGCTGCCACAGTGGCCGATGTCCTTATTAAGGAGTGGATTTATCGTTTTGGTGTCCCAATGGAAATGCATTCAGACCAAGGCAGGAACTTTGAATCTATATTGTTCCAGAATGTGTGTAAGATTCTTAACATTCGGAAGACGAGGACGAGGACCGCATTACATCCGCAGTCTGATGGAATGGTGGAACGAATGAATCAAACGATAAACCGGTACCTGTCGAAGGTAGTCTATGATCATCAAAGAGACTGGGACCGCTTCCACCATTTGTTCCTGTTGGCTTACCTTTCTTCTATCCACGATACAACTGGCCAGACAAACGCTAGCATTGTTATGGGACGTGAACTTCGTCTACCTTATGACCTGAGGTTTGGTTGCCTACCAGGCGAATATATTGCCGGAGAAGATTACGTTAGCAATTTACGTAGGAAAATGACTGACATTCACAGGCGAGTTCGTTTAAACATCCAGAGTGCCAGTGATAGAATGAAAGGGGCATATGACATCAAGGCGGAAAATGGAGGATATCAACCTGGAGACCTAGTTTGGTTATACAACCCTCAGCGCCGTCGTGGTTATTCACCGAAGCTGCAGACTTCTTGGGAAGGACCATACGAAGTCATGGTTCGAATAAATTACATCATCTACAGGAAAGCCGAAATTGATCCATTTTAACCGAATGGCTCCTTACGCTGGAAACAATGATCAACTACACGATGCTAGAGTAAGGAGAGTTAATCCGCTGGAAGACTTCATGTATTTATATTTATATATAGTAAAAAAGCTCGCTATGGTGTAACTCGAGAAAAACAAAAGATCTATTCACGGTTTCGGCCGATTACTCCTTGGCTCACTGTGTTGCAGAAGACCTTAGGATTTCGAGGGGAATAGCGGTTGTCTTTAAAAACAAGTTTGGACAGGTCGACGAGCTACGAAGGCAGAATCCCAAAGTTGGTGCTTGAAATTGTGGATAATGAGCGGATAGGCAACAGAAGTATCTTCTATCTGGTAACGAAGCAGCTCTCCCATCAGAAGCCAAACTACCGTGGCGTATGGAATGCCTTAAATAAATTGAGGGATACCCTTTTGTCCAAGGACATCATGAACCTGGCGATACTAAAGATTGCTTGTGGACTTGACAGTTTGAACTGAAGAATAATTAGAAGTAGGTATGGTGGAAGTTATCTTCAGATTTAGAGGCATACACATTCTTGTCTGTTGCCACAACCGTAAAAGAACAACCGGAAGGAAAACCGTAGACTGCTACTTCTATAGGACGTCACAATGCAAGTTTGGATCTCTATGCAAATATCGCCATGAAGCTGGGGACCATTTTCGGGACGAAAATGTTTTAAGACGGGGGCAATGTAGCGAGTACCGCTCTGGATCTCGGAATAATGACTCATCGCCGGTGAGTCAGCGCTCGAGCGATCGAGAGCGGTCCGGAGCTCGCTGGAATATTCGGGAAGGCATGTAGGCACTGAACATGTAAGGAACAGCGCAGCATGGAGTAGTCAGTTGAGCTTTGGTACTCGCGACGAAAATAAATAAATATACTTGCAAATAAATAGACTCTTGTACAGTAGTGATATATAAATAATTAGTATAAAAAACTACTGCAAAAAGGGTAATATCATTCGATAAGGCATTTCATACCTACGAGGATGTTAGAAATAGATTACTTATCTCGTACTTCAAAGTGCTTAAACTATATCCAGTGGTAACATAACAAAAACCCAGTGTTATGTTAAATAAAAAAAAATCTGGTCGTCTTCATTGTGGATAATGGCCTGACATATTGAAGGCTTAATTTCTTTTAAACTAACTATATTAGCAGAAATGAGACCTCGAAATTGTACGTTTTAACTTAATTGCCTTAAAGGTTTTTTCCTATTGTATCTGTTCCAAAATTGCTTAAATCTTGGGGACTAAAGTTTTACCTATCCAATTTAAAATGGGTCTGTCTAGGCTCTTACTTTACTGACTGGACTATTTTATATCAAGGGCGTAGCCAGGATTTTGTTTTTTAACTTTGCCATAATTATACTTGGGTAAAATTTAAAGACTTTCTTCACGATTCTCATGATAAAATTCTTTTGTGTATGCCAGTTAACATTTTTTTACCAACCATACAAAAAATACCTACCTTTTTATTCTGATATTTTTATCCTTTAACATCAAGTTTTAGAAATAAAATTGTAAGAAAAATATTAAAAACTATTTAGGTACTCACTTGCATGTTACGTCTTTAGTAAATATTTCTTTATTTACATCTGTCAATTCGCAATCATTTATGCACTGTAAAAATGATTCCTTTACAGACTCTTGTCTTAGACTTATAAAACATTGTTGAAAAACCATGTTTGTAGAAGATACTAAAATATATTTTTATTGAACATTAAAAATAATGTTTTAACATTTCAAAACTTACATTTAAAGTGTTGAGTGTTAGTTTTCAAAAACTCTGTGACAGAAAATAGAATATCGACTATAAACGATGGGAAATATTTAAGTTCTTCGGGCAGGCAATTTCTGATTTTGTTTATGGTGTCAGTGTAACATTTTGGTATTCTCGTGTTATACTGGGGTCCAAAAATGTCCAAAAAGTTTCCTGTACAAATCCTGGATTGTGTTAAAGAATCCTAGAAAGTAAATTTTGTGAAACAATGTTATATTGTTTGATATATGTGTTTACTTTAAGTTCTTGGAATGCCTGTCCCTCACCAAATTTATCACAGTACATTTTCACTTTCTCAATCATAAGATTTTTTAATTGCATTTGATTTTCAGTTATTGCGTTTGTGATGTCCCTCTTAAATACACCTAGGGATACATTTAAATCAGAATATTTTAACAAAACATAAAATATAGAATAGAATGAAACATGATTCCAGAAACTAAGAAAAGCTTTTAAGGATCCATGCCAAGCATGTTGATAATGACGTGAAGAAATAGAAAAGCATTTAAGAGCAGATCATATAAGATTTATTGAAAATAAGTATTATGACAAAAACATGTTTGAAACGTTTATGATTAGGTAAATATACTTCTTCTATGCTTCTTTTCTACGGCGCATGCGGATTTCTTAATGAACCTGAAGAGAGCATCCACGATGTTGGCTGGAGTGCTGTCTTTGCATTTTTCCAGTTCCTCGACCACGCAGGTTTGGACCTTAGATAAATCGCTAAAAAGGGAAAAATTATTTATTTTTTAATTTTTAATTATGATATGTTGTTTAGTTTTATACAACATATAGTATTCACATTTTATTTTGGGTTAAATCGAAGAACAATAAAATTTGAAGGTAAATTGTTAGTAGGTATTTACATTGTAATGGGTGCGACACTGACCCTGTGTTTTTTCATGATAATAAAGTGTTTGTTCAGATATATTAATGCACTGTTATAAAAATCAGATTTGTTAACATGAGTTTGTAGTGTGTTAATTTTATTTTGTAAAATTTCAACATATTTGTTTGTATAAAACCAGGGTTTGTAATTATTTTAACAAAAAAAAATATTTGACTGAAAGTTTTGTAAAGGTAATATCGAGGGTAATATGCAATTGTTAATTTCAAATGTTAAAGATTATTCTTTTAATGTTTAACAAATTATTTCGTTTAAAAAGTACACGTGATTTCAGACAGCCAATCAAAACATTTATCACTGACAATACGCATCAACAAGTTCAACTGACTTCAGCGTCTGCAACTTATGTTTCAGCTTACTTTATTCTAAGTCTGTTCGTAACAACTGTCCAGAGTGTTTATAATATATTATCAGAATCCTGTTATTCGGATTCCTTATAATTATTCAACAAATGTGCAAAGTGCGAAATATACCAAAAAAGATGGCATCACTGGTTTAGGGGATACAGTGAAGTGGGTTAAAGTTACGAAATATATCAGCAATTATTGTAGTAGTACTGATAATTATATTGTTCCAAATTCGAATTTGAATTTTGAATTATTGATAAAGGATTTTGTTATTAAATCTACAACATTTTTTGTTTTAATTACAAACTACTTATTCAATTAGTTAAGGGTATTTCCATTGTAACGGGTGCGACACTAAAACTGCGTTTTTTCATTATAATAAAGTGTTTGTTCATATATATCAAGATACGTTAATATAAAAAATAGTATAAAAAATTAGGTATTTAACTCAAACAAAATTTCAATAAAAACTTGTAAAGAAAACCTTTTATAACGTCATGAATAGCGTAGAAAATCAGCAAATGCGACCAAGTTGGGTTCTAAAGTTGATACTGTAAAATTTTGGATGAAAGCATATAGTAATAATTTTTTGTGTAAAACTTGAATACTAACCTTAAACAAGCACGTATTTTAAATGCACAAAAATTGCATACTTTATTTTCTAAAATTTTCTTAAAATGTAACGGGTGCGACATTTGAACATTTTATCGAGTATTGAAACTCTTCCGTGTTTATTCTTAATGAAAGCTTCTTAGTATCACAATGTAAGAATATTTTAAGGTTATAAATTACGTCTCAGTTAAACTCTTTGACTTCAGATATAGTTGTTATTTTGTTAAATAATACATCTGATTTTTTGTCTAGGTGGGGTAAGGTTTCGTGGAAATGCCCTTAACAGAGTACAGTTGGTTGTAAACTTAACATAAAGTTATGTGGATCTGGATTAACATTAAATCTGGTTAATATTTCGTTATAATTAACAAATATTTTTTTACGGTGTATAGATTTTGTTTTGTTAAATAACACATTTTTTATTATTATTTTTTATTAAGGTGGGGGTAAGGTTTCGTGAAAATACCCTAATGCCACTTTTGTTTGAAACTTTTTTGTATTATGAATATTTAACTAATTAAAGAATAATACTGTGCCCAAAATTAAATTAAATTAAATTGAGTTCCTTTTGATTAAAATTGTTAAAACAGAAAAGAATTGTAAATGGGACCCCCTGTATATTTTAACAAATTTTAAAAGACAATTTAATTTGGAACAAAATATTATTATTGCAACTTAAATAAATAAATAATTAATAGGAACTTTCTGATTGATGTTAAAATAAAGGATTAAGAACAACCATCCCAAAACTTTAAGTGATTGTAATTGTTTATTTTAAAATAAATTGACTTTTAAAATATGTAAAATATACAGGGTGTTCCATTTTAAGAAACCCGACGCTCAGTTGTAGTTTTGTTTTCAATTTTTTTTTAAGATAAAATGCCAGCAATTTCTAATTTAACCGACTTTAAAGCTCCAATAATAATAGTGAGCAATGGTGAGCTGATAACTTTGTACACGCTTTATGTTTTAGAAGTAAAAATAAATAAAGGATTCAAAGATAAATAATAAAAAAAAATTAAGATTAACTTTCTATGCAATAAATTAATGACATGCAGCTGCTATAAAAATAAATTAAATGTTTTGCACTTGGCAAAGCAATTTAATCCTATTTCTAGTATAATTGATAACAATTAAAAAAATCTTAATTTAACCAATAAAATGATAATTATCTAAAAACTATTTTTATCTTATTGGACCTAATTCATTTTATCCTTCAAAAGTAAGCAAAAAGTAACTTCCTTAGCTACAACCACAATAGATAACCTCTAGTAAAATTTAAATAGATGAATACAGAAAAAATTAAAAATATTTTTTTTTTCTTATAAGTTACCTACATTACCTATTATGTATAAGCATATGTCTACTTAGTTTTTAATTAAGGATTAAAATTCACAATTTTTATGAATAAATTATCATAATATTTTCGAATAAATTGTTCATACATTTAAACATAATTACCAATTATACAGCCTGACAACATTTTAAAACTAAAACTAAACTTTACCTTTTTAAAGGTTTTTGAGGTGCTTAATAATCCTTAGAATTGCTCCAACACATTAGGGTTTCGGGAAATTCAACCCCAAAAGTGAAACAACGCTGTTTTGCAATATTTAAGGTTATAATACATAAGTTTATTGTCACAAAGCTCGCCAACTAAAAGTATTAATTCTCCCCTTTATCTGTTTAGTATTTTTTTCCATATTCTTTCTTCTCTTTGAAAAAGCGTTAAAAATTTGATGCATTGTTTTGATCAAAAATTTGAACTAACGATTTCTGTGAAAGATATCGAGAGATATGGAACATTTTTTAAAGAGATTTTTAAAAAGAAAAAATATGACATGACTATAGTCCTGTGTTTTTTCACCTTTTGGGATATAGGTATTTTCTCAAAAACTACATAATGGATGAGGTCGGATTTAAAACCTTCGGAACAGGATGGTTTGATTCACACAATACAATGTTGTTTAATTTTATAGACCTGTGTAGGTATTATATTAGAGATCGCCAACGTATTATATAACTGCGCGATAAATTTGGGGTGACAAATTTGGAGTGACAAATTTCAGTGATTTTCCCCCAAAGTACCTATTTAATAATAAAACCCTCCCTGAATTTGTTAAAGTTCAAGTTTTTAATTTTGCTTTAAAAAATTTCTTTTGGAAAAGTTGTTCATGATTCTCGTTCCGACTCTTTTTGAAAAGGTTTTTCATCTCAAAATAATTTATGTTGATGAAGATTTAATGCAATGTAAATTAGTTTTTGGGCTCAATATTCTTATAAAATTGAACATTTTTCTCTTTCTTTAGTGTACCTAACTTAATATTAATTTTTTTAATTTAGAATCATAAAAAATAATTTCTAACCCTAGGGAATGCATTAAAATTGTTTTAAAGAATTAAAATTGTACAAAATGTTGCCTTTTTATAATTTTAAGTCGCCTATGTATTACTTGCGTTATTAAACTTCAACATTTTTTTTAAATTATTTAATTTTCTGAGTTAAAATAATAGTTTAAAAAATCTAAACTTTTTAAGTCCAACTTTGTTGTTTTGCCGATATGGTCAGTTTAAAAATATCTAAACTTGGTTAAGAAAATCCCTAGAATTCCTTTTATTAGTTTTAACAATTAAATAGGTATAGTTAAAAAAAAATGTCGCCCTGTATTATAGATTAACAATGTAATAAAATATTAAAAAAACTTACTCGCATCTGCTTTTGTCAATAGAAATAGTTGGGATTGAGTTTGGAGACAATGAAGTGAATTTGGTGGGGTCAATTTTTAAAGTTGCGTTAACACAATTTTTCACTCCTTCTGTGTGTTCCTGGATGCATTCAAATCCACCTTCAGCGACAAACACTAAAAGAAAAAAGGTTTATATTTATGTATACATACAAACATAAAAACTTAATAAACATTTTAAATTTCAAATGTTAAAAACTTGTTTTACTTACTGGCAATTCTGTCCCCATCTCTAAAACAAATAAACTCTCCCAACTCCCTGATGACGTTTAGAGTTTTGTTCATGGCCTCCTTTTCAGTATCTTCCAAACATGGTTTTACAGCGTCGATGCCTTTTTGTAAGCAAGCTTTGACTTCCGGCCTTTTTTTACAGTATTTTCCGAAAACTTCATCCATTGATCCGGTTTTTTTGGATTCCTCAACTTCGGTTTTAATGGATTCGATGTTTATGATGCCTTTAATGCATGTTTTCATTTCTTCAATACTTTTCTGCATTAAAAAAATTAAGACTTTGGATTAAAAAAAAATAGTTTGCTATTTGGTTATCTTTAATTATTTGATTATTATTACGACAAAAAAATCCTTTTGTGTTTTAATCTAAAATATTTCTATTAGGTATGTGCTTATCGAATGAACAAGCCTAATAAAGTGTTTTTAATATGTAGAGTAGTACTACTATGTATACAAGGTATCCCGTATCGTTATGTTCAAATTTTGAGAGCATAAAGTAGACTTATTTTCAGGAATAAAACCCGCAAAACTTGTATATAAATTTTTATTTGTTTCAAAGTTACAGGCCTTTGAATTACACAGGTCCACAAAAAAAAAGTGGTCTGTGCTGGGTGTTCGACAAAGATTTTCCGACGTATTTTTTACCGAATCTGAAGTCAAAATTGGGGTCAAACTGCAAAAAACGGAGAAAAATTAAAATAACCGATATTAGATAATGAATTTTATCGGTTTTTTAATTTTTCTTCGTTTTTTGCAGTTTGACCCCCAATTTTGACTTCAGATTCGTGTTCAGCGGTAAAAAATACGTCGGAAAATCTTTGTCGAACACCCAGCACAGACCACTTTTTTTGTGGACCTGTGTAATTCAAAGGCCTGTAACTTTGAAACAAATAAAAATTTATATACAAGTTTTGCGGGTTTTATTCCTGAAAATAAATCTACTTTATGCTCTCAAAATTTGAACATAACGATACGTCCCTTGTATATAAATACACTTTATTAGGCTGGTGTACTCAATAAGCGCACACTACATTTAAGATAAAACACAAAATGATTCTTTTCAGTTAATCTGCTTTTGTAGCATACGCCTCAATTTAGGGTTACAATAACAGTTTCTAGATTATCAAGAATAAGTAAAAATGGTTTAAATACGATTTATTTTTTATTGATTTTAAAGTTTACCTACTAATTAGAATAATTTAGAATAAATTCTCCTTGTGTAGACGGTTATAGAGTTGACATATTTCAATATAAGGATATAATCAATTAAAGTTTATTATAGTACATCCTTCTTAAAATTCAATTATGTCTGACTAACTGATTCTTTACTTTGCTTTGTTTGGCCTTACAGAGATCTAAACAATGTATTATTTTGTTTGAGGCATATTTTTTTGGTTTAATAAAACAAATGTTATCAAATAAATCGCAATGAGCATAATTTATCGAAGGACCAATATTTAGCAGCGATAAACTGCAGCATGCTAGTCTGCATGTTAACAAATTAATGTGATTTAAGAAAGTTACAATGTCAGAAATATAAATAAAATTATGTTTTGTACTTCTGAACTGCTGGTTTGGGAGAAAACTGTATTTTGCTACATTTATCTTATAATTACTTTAACATTATCGTATGTTCCGGGTCCCCCTTTGGTGTCGCATCTTTCCTTCACTACTGCAATATCGTCAATTTCTGGAATGTTTGGAAGGTTTTGCAGGTTGATTTCAGCGCAGCATGCTCCTAAAATTTTTTTCAAATATATTAATTTTGGTTAAGATTGTACATGCTGTTTGGAAAGTTAGAATTTTGCTATTCAGAAAGAACTAAAGATTTTCTTTTCTTTTTTTTTTAAAGGAATAATAAAAAATATTAGATAATGTTTAAATTCTTGGTAGGTATATAAAAAATATTATTTAAGCTATTGACTTCAGGGATAGTACTATCTACTAATTTTATTTCTTTAGATCAACTTTTATTTTTTTTTATTTTATACACTCATTGCATAATATTTTCTGTGAATAATGATAAACATTATAAATTTCTTGCCAAACAATGGAAATAACGAAGTCATTATTCACGTTGTTAGGAATCAGTAATTGGCCAATTTTAATATTTGCTGTGATTTGAACCAATCGGGTTTTAAATTGGGAAAATGCGACTATATCAATATTTAAAATTGGTTAGGTGACCCATTTGACAGATGTCGGATTTATTATCGTCTTTTTAATTGATAAAGTAATAGAAAAATAAAATATTTTAAACATATTTTTGTCGAATCTAAATGTCAATTAAATACTGGAACAACGTTGCCATGGTATGGCATAAGAGAATTTACGATATTGTGAACGTAATAAAGCCTTTTGGCGCTTTTGTATTATGTCAACTTTATTTTATTTTTATTTACAAACTGTTTTTATAGATTTTTCACAAAACCTATTTCTGGTGGTAGCAACGTTTTTCCAGTATTAAGGAAAATAATATACTGCCCTTCTTAGATGTCTTAGCATACAAATGGTCACTCCATATACCTGAAAAAAACCACACCAACCTTCCAAAAAGCATTTCGTCTTTGAATCACTTATTTAGATGTTTTACAGTCTCATAACAAAACTTCCCAGATGATAAACTTTCAAAGGTAACCAAAGGATTAACCAACCATAATTACTCATGAGTAATTACTGTCCTTGGGGTTGTGCACAACCCAAAGGACAGTAAAGACCCTATAACAGTACATGGTACTCTACATGGACATGGTACTCTATAGACAACTTCAGAATTTAGAGTTATTTTGTCCTATCCTCTCTTCAAAAGTTTTCTGATTTTTTCTGCGATACCACTTATATTATATAAGTGGTATTGGTTTATGGTTTTGCTGATGTCTTTTTTGAAGTAACCATTGTTGGATAATGCCTTGTTAACTTTGAAAGTTTATTATCTAGGAAGTTTTTGTAAAAGCTCTAGAAACAAGTGATTTCTCTTTTCTAAACTAAGACATCTAAAAAGGACAGGTAATTATTTTCTACAATTTTCATGGTAAATTTTTTAAGTAATAAAATTAGGATTCTTTTTTTTATTTGGACTTTGACAACTTAATCTATAATGGTTATACAATGATTGCCTGATTGCCTATATTTTGGCCTGCAAAACTCGAAAATCACAATAATTTTTTTTTGACAATGCTTTTAAAATTTGAACATCACCGACAAATAATACTTTCTTTATGCAGTTAAGTGGTTTAAGTACAATGGGCTTAAATATTGAAAAATTTGTTGGACAAAAATAAGAATGCAACATTTACCTTTTTTCTAAGGAAGAATAAAAATAAAGTATATACAAAAAACTATAAATAAATGACAAAGTTATGACAGTTTATTTTTGGACTTTTTCCAATTACTTTACAATACATTTTAAAGAAAGAGTTTTTTGTTGTGTTTATTTATTAATTACCAAAGTTTTTTGGTTTAAATTTTGAATTTTACAGTATGATGTATTTCCTATTGTTTCTATTAGCTATGAATAAGGTAAGATTCCAAAACTGGTATAAAAGATAAGTGTTAATGAGTAGGATTTTTTTACTTTTTTATCTACTGCGTTATCTTATACTATAGTATAAGATAACGCAGTAGATAAAAAAGTAAAAAAATATACTATAGTATAAGATAACGCAGTAGATAAAAAAGTAAAAAAATCCTACTCATTAACACTTATCTTTTATACCAGTTTTGGAATCTTACCTTATTCATAGCTAATAGAATATAGGTATTTCATTTATTTTTACTGTGGAAAGTAATGTTATGATGTCAGTTTATTAGAAATAAGTTTAATTTTTCTGATCATACATACAATGTATGATCATGATATACAGGGTGTTTTCGTATAAATAAAGACACCCCTCCAAACTTTTTATTAGAAGACATGTTATAAAATTCAGCTTGCATGGTTTAAAAAAGTAATTTTTATGCAAAAATTAAAAAACAAAAAAGCATCGGTAAAATTGATAAAATAGCATTGACTGTATATTTTCGGATATTTAGATTAAGTTGTTTATTCTTATTTCAAAAGTTTATAGTTTGTATATTTTAAAATTAAACATTTTATTAATAAATAAAGCAAAAACCTGTCTTATTTTAACATAAAAATTATAGTTGTCATGGACTCACGTCGAAAAATAACCATGCTTTTGTTATTAATTTTTAACCAAACGCCAATAATTATAATTGTTCCAAACGCTATGCTTATTTTACGGTAAAAGTTCTAAATCCATGGCAACCATGATTCTCGCTATTTTATTAAATTTACCGATGCTTTTTTGTTTTTGAATTTTTGTCAAAAAAATTACTTTTTTATACCATGCAATATGGATTTTTTTATATATCTTCTAATTAAGTCCCATTTACAAGAAAACACTCTGTACATAAACAGTCATAACTGGTACTTTCCTTAAATACCGTGTTTTTTAGGCAAAAGTGTGTTGTAATTCGAAAATGGTTAGGTATGATTTTTTAAAATATTTAAACCCAATGCATTACTTAACTGATTGGGCATTATAATGCCTCTTATATAAGTTATATATATATAAGAGAGTGATATATTTTTTAGCGATTCGACTATATTTAATTTGACACCTCTTAACTCATGATATGAACCAAATTCTAAAGCTTTATCTCTAAAACCTTGCCATAAAAACAAATAAGTGTAATTGCAACAAAAATGTATTTTTAATGAAAATTTGTAGAAGAAATATTATAGCTACCTATAAAAAATGTATTTAGGTATAGTGTGAAATAGTTCTCTATTTTTTTAGTTCTATAAAAAATTTTGACATTTTAATTTAAACACACAAAGGATTTAGAATGGTTAAGAAACTGTTAAAATATTAAAAATAATATATTTTATATGGACGACCAAGATTTTCATTTTCAATAAATATTATTGTAACAAACGTCATAATTGTTAGGAGCATACAAACAATTTTTATTACAATGTTTAAGAACTAATTCTTTTCTTAATTTAAAAAGATGTAAATTGTTTTAAACTATAAGCCAAGTAAAGTAAGTGAAGTAAAAGAATATTAAAAACATTACCTGCAAAAAGTAATAAAATTGCCACGGACCACTTCATATTGTTAAGATGTTGCTGCGACAAGATATCACTTAACACTGTGTATTTTGTATTATTATTTATAAATGTGCCGTCCATAAGGTCATTCTAATATAATCTGCTATGCCATGCTATAATCAAAGGTTATGAACTCTTTATCTACCAATAAATAAAGAATTCATGATTATTATTTGTGTTTCGCATTCAACTGTTTTCCACTTAAAAATGTATCATTACTACGACTAAACAAATCGCTTTGTAGAAATCAGATAAATACAGCATTGGGAAATGTTTAACATACAAATATATAAAACCGATTTTACACGAAAACAAAGGTGGGTATACAAGATTTTATATTATATTTTTAAAATTAGACTTTACTTTTTCACAGAACTCGTTATGCCGTCTACAGATACTACTATTTTTCACAAAATCCTACCAATATCTTCTCTCCGAAATTTGTTACCCAAAACAAGCTCATAAATTTTAAATAAGATTTTCCAAAGATGGGAGGGAATTTTAAAAAAATTACAAAAGGACTAGGAAAATTAGTAGTAGATGGCATTAAGAGTTTTTTGAAGAAAAAAATACCTTTTGATAAAGCCTAAATGCCATTTTAACTTGTTACTTTTGTTTCAAGTGTACATGAACAGGCACCGACAGACAGTTTGTTTCGGTATTTTTGTCATCATAAGCAGCTATGCATAGCTGCAAAAATCCGAGTCGAACACGAGGATTTTTGCACCTGCACGAATGCATTTTGTTAAAAAATATTACTTAGCATTGTGTTTTTTCGATTTTTTTCACAGGAAAAATTAGATGCCCGAATGGTATTTGACAAATATGTAGGTATTCATTTTAAAACTGAAAAATAGGTAATTTATTTAATCACAAAATACTACAAACTTAATAATTTATGGTACAATTAAAATATAAATTGCAATTTTGGTGACAACAGCTGTCAAGTTTTGCCGCAGGTAAAAAGTGCTGACAGGTGCTGTCATACAGTTTTTCCACCTAGAAACCATTTGTAATTCAAAATTGCTCGTTTGTGATTGGTGGAAATTAAGACGAGGAAATAGTCGCAACGAAACAACTTAAAATTACAGAAAAACCTGCTTTATTTTGAAACATGCAAAAAAAGATTTATTTATTATAATGTATTAAAATTCATAAAAAAATAAAAACTGATTAAAAAAAAATCAAAAAACCTAAAAGTAAAGAAAGAAAAATCCCAAGCTTGTGTTTGTGTTTTCTTGGCATATACCGATATAACCTTTACAAAGCAGTCTTTTTAGCTTTTGGGTATAATATACAAGTTTTTTAATTAAGTTTCTAGCTAATATAAATGTCATTGCACCCTATATGTATGTTACCGTTTACAGGACGGTACAGAGGAGACTTAGTTTTTGCAATTTTAGTTAAAATCTGACTTCCAGTAATATTTTTTAATAATTATTAGCTTACCTTAACCTCTATCGCACCAGCAAACAATGTTATGGAATCATATAAAAAATATATTGAATAAAACATGAATTGTCAAGCTAGGAATATTTTGTTTCCAACTAGAAATTTCTGAGCGCCAAATATGAATTTCTGCTTTCCCACCACATTTTTTTTTACAAAAAATATTTTAAATTAGTTCAAAACTTTTAATCTTTATACTTTATATTATACCAAACGTTTTGCATTCTAGAATAAAAGTTTATTTTTTGAGCGATAGCAAAAAAATTAATCAAAAGAATTTTGCAATCGAGTATCGAGTATTTTGCGTACATAGCAACGGAGTTAAAAGTATTTTTTGTACGAGGATGTGGAAAGTAACCACTTCCCGCACTCACATGCGTTCTGAAAGTTGAATTTATCCGCACTAGTGGTGAAAGTTTTTTCCGCACTGACACAGGAAACAAGACATCAACAATCTCATATATAAGTCGCACTGTGGGCCAGAAATTCCCTAAACATTGAAAAAGTCAATTTTTAACTTTGACAAACTCTGACTATTGCTTTGACCCCAAAATATAGATTAATCCAATAGGATTTTTGATGAAACATTTTCAAAAATGACATTTAGGCAAACGTTAACTTAACTACATTATATTTTTCGGTGTAGTGCGGAAAGTAATACTTTTCCACACGCGACTGCAGTTGTTTTTTCGACTACCGTGAGAAAAATTAACTAGTTTTTGGCATTTCTTTATTATATATAGATAAATAGATTTATTTCATCTTTAGCCAAAACAAAACAATTGAATAGACAAGTCACAAACAAAAATACATTGTATTATTTAATAATTATATTATAATGAGCCTATAATAATATTATATAATATTGATGAGCCTAATTAAGGCTGCAGTGAACCTATTAATGGTAATAATAATATAAAACGCATTTTCACATAAGAAGGCTTTTATCTTATTTTTAAAACAATTTACGAAATGCTCATTTTTATTATTTGGGAAAAGCATAATACGTATAATATTGACAACCGGAATGTATATTTATATATATTTATATATATATATATATTTTTTTTTTTAAAAAACATGAGAATTAAGATAGACATTATTCTCTAGCGAATTAACGAGCTACAACTTTATGACGTTTTATTCACGGGCTGAAGTTAGTAATAGTGGCTTTTGGGATTCTAGTCACGGGCTGAAGTAAGCTTTATTATAAATTAGGGAAAAGTGAGGTTAAATCCGTTAAAAGTTGAACACTAGCTCGCAAGCTTTGCTCGTGCCTAATAAAACTCGTATTGTATAATATTAGGATTTTTTCGTGAAAAATGATAAACATTATAAATTCCCTGCATAACAACCGAAATAATGAACTCATTATTCACGTTCTTATTCATCGGTGATTGGGTGATTTCAATATTCACTGTAATTTGAACCCCATCTGGTTTAAAATTGGAAGAAGGCGAATATAATAACATTTAAAATTAAAAAAGGATGTCAGATTTTATTTATTTCTTTTTGAAAATCATTCATCAACTATCCACTTATTGGAGTTCATAAAGTACAGTATTACACTCGAGATTATGCATATTACAAAGTCCCGTCCGTTACGCTTAAATTATTAGTTTTTAAGGAATTAAACAGTCAACCACGATACCTAATTTTGCCAAATAAAAACCTTGTTAAACAGCTTTAGTTTAGAACTATTTCTAAAAATTTGACATTGGTAATATAATAGAACAATATTATTTTGTAAATAAAAACACGGCAACTGTCCTATCCGTTACGCGTGGAATGGCTCATATGGTATGTTATATAAAATATGCTTAGAATTTTACAAGTAATCGGAAAATAAATACATATACAGGGTGTTATGTAATTAATGTTATATATTAAAATGGGTTGTTCCTTAGGGTCCATAAAGAAGCACCTGAAACTTTTTTTTCTAAATTCCAAAGTCTAAAAATAATTTATAATAACCTTTATCCTACCAAAAAGTACGCCACTGATCGACTAGGAACTTTAGATTAATCTGGTGGATTTATTATGTTATGGTTGGTAACAACAGTTTTTCCAAAATCTCTCAAAAAAGTTGACAAACATTGTTTAAATTTAGCTTAATTACAAAAAATGACAAAATTAACAATGCAAATTGTCAATTTGGCGTTTTTATTAATTGTTGGTTATTTCATTTTTGTAGTAGTGAAGGTAAATTCAAACAAAATCTGCCAACTTTTATGAATTTTAGGTTATGTTAATTGTAAATATCTTAACTAAGGGAAGTGCTTTTGGATTTATTTACACAAATTAAATGTTTAAAGTTTAACCTGTGAACTGGGTCCCTATTTCATCTGAGTAAACAGAGAAAAAAACTGATGAAAAAATAAATTTTGTGGTTATGGATTTCAAATTTCAAAGGTACTAAATTTTCTAATCATTGCTTAAGCTAATAGCTGGATCAGTAAATAAATACAGAAGGGTATTATAGCTTTAAGGGCATAAAACTTTTGTATTTATTGAGTTTTTATTTATTTTTTGCAAGAAAAATTTTTAGTAACAATTTTTTACATCTGGCAACGCATAGCTACTTTGTTGGTTGGTATCTATGTACTCACAAAATACAGGTGTGCAGAGATAAACAAGTGGCGTATCACAAAAAATATAAAAAACTTCTAATGCATATTTTTTCTTTATCTTTGGAAAAATGCTTTTTAAAATATTTTTCCTTTATTCCTTATGTCAAAAGGTATTCAGTATTTTAATATATAACATTAATTACATAACACCCTGTATAGTGTAATCCATTGAAAAAAATAAACTTTTTGTTTTTCCCTGTATACTTATCAAATTTCCAATTTTCTTTATACGTAGAAAAAAAAGTATTTTTTAGTACCTACATAACCACACTTTTAAATTTTTTGGGACACTTAAAATAAAAAAGTTAAAGGGGGGCGACATTATAGGGGATCATCCTGTACAGGCAAATTTTAAAATTTGTTCTGGTTTTAGGCATTTACCGTTCTTCAACATCTTTTAAAAGGTTTCTATTTTAAAATAAGTCATTTGAAATAATTGTAACGCTAATAATTATTTTTAATTTTCTATTAATAACATGCGAAAATACCACGCAAAGCAGATTCAGTATGCGGCGCAGAGCACAGTATAATATGCGCAGACTGCGCCGCAGACAACGCATTGCGTATGAGTTTACGGCCTCGTTGGAACCGGAGGGTATTAAGAAAAATTAATTTAAAATAATAATATTATTTATTTATTTAATTGCACTTCTGGGACACCCTGTATAAAGTCGTTTAAATGCAAGTTTTAAAGGTGAATGGGATTGGAAACATAAATTCCTTCAAAAGGTGTATAGATCTTTATGAAGAATATTTAAAAAAAATGTATAAACGTTTTTTGTAAATTAAATTTGGGTTTTATCATTTTAATAGCAACCGTAGTATGGGAAAGAAAAAATAAATAAGTCGACACCTGGATTATTTTATTTATTGTACTACAATATTTTTATAATAACATTATCTATTAACAATTCTATTAAATAAATTTTATATTTAAGAACATTAAGTGGTAACATTTTATAGTAATAATAATAATAATGTATATTACCTAATATTATAAAACTATATACATTGCTAACAATCTGCGTCTGGTTATTACGATTTTTTTTGTTTGAAATATCAGACGCTTACCACAACTTTTATCTCTAAAAGACGAAACATTTATTATCATAAAAATAGCTTTAATAAGTAACATAGTGTTAATTGAGTATTAATCCGTTTTCTCAAGCCTTATGTACGTGCTGATGTCTGATCAGGCATTTATTATTTCATTCAAAGCTTAACAGTCAATCTACGAATAATTTAACAATAATATGCTTATAGGCCAAAATAAGGCTTAAATGGCCCTTACAAATATTTAGGTTAATAATTTGATTATTCAAAATTTACTCACACAATATAAATGCTCTTGTTTGTGCTTGTTTGGAGGATGTAAAACTTTTGATTCGTGTATCAAACATTTAAACGGCGGTTAAAAATAAACCTGTCAGTCAGATCTTAAGCGATGGGTTACCCTTACGTCCACTACATATTCTAAGTCTACAACACATTCTAAAACTACATAAGATAATATATGTGCTTAAGTTTAACGTGAAAGTGATTTGAGATTAGCATTATTTTTTAAAACACGATTTTTTTGTAGTTTTTATCGTTTTTGTAATCTTCTTATATTTTCACATCTACCACATATGCTAACATTAACACTATATTATAACTCTGGACGTTCGGGCGGAAATATAAACCTGTGCTTTAAACCTGACTGGGTGATTTGCCGCTACAAAGTCAACAGCCACAGATTTGAATTTAAGGGCTCACAGACATTCCTATCCGTGGGGACTTTGACGGCATCGAAAAAGCACTCTTTCGACACTCAAATACACGGCCGAAGAGATTTTGGTTTTTGATTTGACAACTCCGAAACCACCTGTATTGTATCGCTCGAACGGAGCTATCAGAACTTAAAATATGGGTTGTAAAGGGTTAAAATGGTTACAATTATTGACATTACTGATTTTCAGTAGATTATGTAATTCTAAAAGCACATCAAAACACCAAGATCTTTATCCTACAACTATGCTATCTTGATTTAATATCATTGTAACATTAAAAAAAATCAGCAATGTCAGTAGTTATAGGCAACTAGATATAAGTATGGTTTAAATGTTTGTTACAGGATTAATCTATTGGTCTTATTTGATAAAACGAAGCACCTTTTATATGTAACGTGAAATATAGCCTAAGGATATTTATTGGTATTTTTCACATTTTCTATAATATAGAAAGCCTATTTCTTCAACTAAACACCAATGGTATTTCGTTTTATGTGAGTTAAGTCAATAGGTTTTGCCAATTGGTTTAGTTTAAATATACCGGATTCATCATAATAATTATATTATTGATTGACTTGATGAGGTTGCATTCTAAACCTTCATTCCTGAACCAACTTTGGTAGATAGTATTTACTTTGAAAGGTTTCTAATAGTTTTTTTTCAAAACATTAGTACCGTTCTAAAACTCTCTTCTTCCAAAACCTCACCAGGTCTTTCAATAAGATGAAACTATATCTGTACTTGCTTTATTATGTTTGCGACTGTTCCAACTTAACTTAGTTTTAGGCATTTATTATGTAAGCAATTATTATGGACAGCAGTGCCATTTTCTGGAAGATGATTACAGATATCCAAGTGTAGCGTAGGTCTTCACGAATGGTGTGTCCACTTTACATGTTTCCCTGCGGGTAAATAGTTTATTTAGCACAAGGGCGCCCTTAAATGCGTTTACAAATTAATTTTGCTATGGGGACAATTTGTCATTTAATGTATTATTCAGTTGTTGTGTTTAAGCTGATGATACATACATGCTTTTGTCCCCACTGACACCCGTTAATAAATAATAATAATAGTAATTTAATTATTCAAGTGATTGTGTTTAGTGCCTAGGTCAGTTATGCTACATACTTGGTGTATGGTGCGAGTATTTGCTTCATTGAATACTTGAAAATTAATTGTGACTGATTTGTTTGCTTGTAGGTCAAATATGGGAGATTCTGTATACATTTTTAAAGATTGGATTTAAAATCTAATAAAACAATAGTTGATACATAATTTTAAACATATATATTATCAAATTCAATTAAGCAGGTTTAGGATAAGCCTAAGCAAAACGTCCTACAAAACCCTACACCAGGGGCCATGATATAACTAACAATGGGAACGGCCATAATTGAAAAATATCTCTTAAGACCCAAACCATGTAAAATCCATGTGTAAGTTTAATAAGAAGTATAAGTGGCAACATCGAATATTTAAAAAAATGAATAAATTTTAATGAAAATTTTAAACTAACTGGTGTAATTTAAAACCACAATTTTTATGCTTTTAAACAATATATACATAGATATATTGAATACTAAACTTTATACACGTCTATAAATTTGGCAAGGCTGACTTTGATTTGTTTTTGTTTAATTGTTGATTTGTACTCTGTGATCGATATTTAAAAGGTCATAGGTAATAATCCTTTAATATATCTTTTATGTTTTTCATAATAATAGTGTTAATATCAAAAGGTTTACAACGTTAGAAAATATTGTCGAATGTATAAAAAAAAGTTTATATATAAAAGTGCTCTTTTAGTTCCACCCTTACTTCTTAAGAAGTCCCATAAGCCAACTGAATGGCTTGTGCGGGTTAGGGGTAGGAACGGACCGCGGGCTTAAAGTCCCCTCCGAAGGACTAATACACAATAGGACAAACACAAATAATGTAATACCACAAGAGGTTCCATTTAGCGGTTTTTTTTAGTTTCAACAAAAACTTGTGGGTTTGACGTTTAATTTGGATCAAATTAAATATATATATAATTTTTTTTTCTTTTTTATAAATAAATATTAGAAATATTCTCCAACACTAAAACAAAACACAGTGCTTAAAGTACTTTTCGCTTCTAAAGACGAACATCGTTGGCGAAAAGTACTTTAGGCACTTTGTGTTTTGTTTTGGTGTTATATCACCAAAGTTGTCTTTTTTCATATTGTCCTTTTGTCCTTTCGTCCTTTTTCATATTGTAGCCCCAATCCATTAATACGTTTGCTTCATCTTTAACCGGCTGCTACGAATTTAAATCAACTTCCGCTCCTTGTAAAATTCACTGAATTGAGCCCAAATTGAACTTATACTTTTTTGTATTTTGTGATGTCATATTATGTGTTGTGTTTCTATTGTTTAATTTACAATAAAAGTAGAGATTATTAATTGTTAATTCGTTTATGTTAAAGTCATCATCTATTAGGTTTATATTTGTTTTTTCTTCAGATTTCTTGTGTATTATTTTGTAGTCGAATCCAGACAGAAATTGTGCGTATCGTAATAGTCGTGTTGCTGTCATTACTCGAAGTTCTTTATTATATTTGCATCATTGGTTTGTTATCTACTATAAGTGTGAATTTTTGACCATAAATATAATCGAAAAATTTCTTGGAAGACAATACACGGTGCTGTTCTGAGAGGTGATTTCTGGACTTTCTGTGAAACCTATTTTTTTATATTCTTGTTAATTAGGTCATAACTAAAATTTTAAGAGCAAAATAAAAAAAAATTTGACGGTTAATTTTGTTTTAATTGGATGTTTATTAAAAATATGTATACACACTTTCAATTCTCCAATTAAAACTTGCGATTCTGAAAGAACAAAAATTATAGAATACTTATACTGAAAATGACAATTTAAACGTCAAATAAATTTGTAATAGATCTAAGTTTCATGGCAACCTTTAAGGATATATTAATTAAGGGAACATAAATGTATACGTCAAAGGTTAGATTAAAAGTTTGAACGTTTATTGCAAAAAAACAGTAAAATATATAAAAAAAATTGTAAAAACCTTTTTTTAGTTATGCAAATATTAAATATTTAAATTAAATCGCTAGTTTTAATTGGATAATTGAAAGAGTGCATAATATTTTTAATAAACAGCCAATTAAAACAATTCAAACCGTCAGTTTTTTTTATTTTGCTCTTAAATTCTTAGTTATGACCTAATTAACAAGAATATAAAAAAATTAGGTTTCACAGAAAGTCCAAAAATCACCTCTCAGAACAGCACCGTGAATATACAGCTGTCGCTTTCTTATTGGATGTAATTATTTTCTGCGTTAGTGAGAGAACGGAAAGCAATTTGCTTCAAGCAAATGCGATCGGCCTTTCGATCCCATTGTCAAATTTGTGTGATAAGACGGCTCCTAACCCTGGACTGGCGTCTGTAGCTAAATAGATTTCTTTACTTGGGTCGAAAGCGCATAATACGTTATTTCCTGAAATTTCTCTTTTAGCCATAATGAAGGCGTTTTCACAATTAGGTGTCCATTTGAATTTTGTTTTTTTTTTCGAAGTAGTTGATTCAAGGGGTGTAATATTGTGGATGCATTTTGAATAAACATAATATAAGACAATCCCTAAAAATTGTCTGACTTCGTCCGCATTAATTCTACGTGGAGCTTCCAAAATAGATTTTATTTTTGTATTTGTTTTCTGCAGACCTTTCTCAGATATTGTATGTCCTAAATAATCTACAGATATTTGTAAAATTTGCACTTGTTCATGATAAGGTGTAAATTATTTTCCTTTAATTTCTTTAAAACTTCGATAAGGCGTTGTTTGCATTGTTGCATTGTGTATGTCCTTGAATTATTATGTCGTCAAAGTAAGCTGCTGTACCATTCAACTTTTGTACTAATTGGTACTATCCAACTTTTGTACTATTCGGTGCAAATTTGATTCCAAAGAATAATCTTGTGGGTATGTAGGTGCCTCTGTGCGTTGAAATTGCTTGTACTGCAGCACTTTGTTTATCTACAGGTAAATGTAAGTATGCTTTATGTAAATCAAGTGTGCAGAAGTATTTCCCGTGTCCAGTTTTGGTAAATATTTCTTCAATGCTGGGTATTGCGTAACGATTTTTATGTAGTACAATAACAAGTGGTGTTCCCCATTCGGAATAATAAATGTTCTTTATTATTCCTTGGTCTTCCAATCTGTCTAATTCACTGTCAACTTTTTCTTTGAATGCGTATGGAATATGTCTGGGTTTAATGCAATTTGGTTGAGCGCTCTATCATAAAAGTATGGTGCATATGTACATAATTGGCTTTTCCAACTTTTTCCTGGAAAACATCTTTAAATTGTCCAATTATCTCATTTATGGATGTTTCGGTTCGTGTCAAATTCATAATGTCATTTTGTTAATATTGCTTTAGATCTGTAAATTTCGTATCCAGTCTCTACCAAGCAATGGTTCTTTATTTTCTAGTTTCGAAGCTTTAATTGTTTATGATAAAGAAACTATTTCGTTAAATGGTTTGTCGCCACATTCAAGTAGTTTTTCTCGATATCCTCAATAACAATTTATATCATTGCATTTTGTTGTAAAATTTTCTCTTTTTGAAAGTTCTTTTAATGCCGTTATGTAGGTACTGTGTTAAGATTTCTTCGGGTTTTTGTAGTCTCGAAAAGAAAATATGCTGTTCTTAATTGATTTATTTTCACCACTAATGCTTCTTTTCAAATTTTTACTAAATCTTCGTATGTTTTAGTATTTGGTTCTACTGGTGTTATGAGATTGACCAATATACTGTTTTGCTTCCAAACAATTTATAAATACTGTATGTTTTGCTGCGTTTGTTGCATCATCTTCTCCAGTCAATCCCTTCATTTTAAAATAGTTAACCTTTCAATATAGTTTGCAAATGGCTCTTGTGTTTCGGCATATTGTTCAAATTGTGAATTTTGTGTTTTTAGAATCTCTGTTGGAGATGTTGGGGTTTTTGCACTTTTTGTAGTACTTTTAAAAGTGCACTTGTAGTGGAATTATGCAGCACACATAAACATTAAGTTACCATGAACATTAACATTAAGATTAACATTAAAAAGTAAAGATGAATATAATTCAATGGAAGCATTTATGTTAAATTAATCTTAATTAAATAAATTAATAATAATGTTAATATTAATGTTAATTTGTGTTGCATAATTCCACCATTAATACTTCTTTTACCTCGTCGCCAAATCTGTTGTGTTTCTATTGTTTAATTTACAATATTATGTATTTCATTTAGTATATTTTCTTTACAGACCCTCCCAAATCATAACATTTTTATTAATTTTAGTTTGGTTTGCAAACAACTTCTTAGTAACGACAAAATCAAAGTTTACCTGACATATTTTCTGTCAAAATAAAAGCATTGTTAGGAAAACGCAGAAGGTAAATAAAAAAATCCACTCATTTTGGTCAGCATTTCAGTTTCTTCCTTTTTATTCTTCAGCAAGCCGTTTTTTGAGTTTTTAATTCTTTAAACTGACAGGAGTGGAATTGTCATATATAATACTAGGAGTGCTTTGAATAGTACGAGTGCGCAGCATGATGTAATTTTTTTTTTGCATTTTCAACACCCTTTATCTCAAAATCTAAGATACTTAGCCCTAACATCCAGGGCCGAGCCGTGCCGGGGGTGCAAGGGGTGCATGGCACCCGGGCGGCACTAACACAGGGCGGCAAAATATCATCAAAAAAATTGTATCATATTATCAAGAATAAAAAAGCCACCTTGCAATATGCAAAAAAAATCACTTGCGGTTTATAGATGTCGGCGTTTCAAGGAATCATCGTTTTTATTCTACACATAAAAACAATACCAAAATTGTGCTGTCAGGCGGCAATGATAAAAAAGACATAACCGAACGCGCGATAGCCACAAAAAATGATGATGACAATTTTCTTAAAGCCCGTTTTATAGATTGCCGCCCGCCCGCTTCGCTTTCCTTCCGTCCGCTTCGAGTTCGTCAAGTTTCATGGTTTACGGAAGCGGGCTTACGGGAAACCAATCAAATCGCGCGCTGTGTACCACGTGATATTGTTTACAAGCTGAACTGTTAAGTTAAAGCATAATTTCTTCCGATTTGACGGCTGCGTATTTCAGCAATTTTTAGTTTTTCTATTAACGTGAGGCAAATAGGATGCAAACATAGTAGTTTCTTTTGCATTTTAATGCGTTTAAGTTAAAAACTAGTTAATGATTTAAAAGGCATCTTTCCGAATTTATTTGTAGCTTTAAGAATATTTTTGACGATGCCAGTTACTGTTGCCCATGAAGAGCGGTCATTTTCGAAATTAAAACTAATTAAGATCCAATATGAGTCAATTCAGGCTTTCAAATTAAGCAATTATAAGTATTGAAGAAGATATTTCTAACAACTTGGATGTAGGCGACTTGATTAGGGAATTTGCTATTAAAAAAGCGAGAAAAGTAGATTTTTTACATTAATGGGGGCGGCAAATTTATGTCTTGCACCCGGGCGGCAGATACCCTAGACTCGGCCCTGCTAACATCTATAAAAACTTTTTGTCACCAAATCTTATGGAGATAACCCATTTTATTTTTTACTTCTTTTTGATATCACCCTGTATAGTTATATTTCTTAACTTAAAATAAGTCGATTCAAGCAAGTTTACCTACATCCAAAGTTGCTTCTTTTAATCACTAGCTTTCTAGTGCCTAGACATATCAAGTTTGAATATAGGTAAGTTGTGATAAATCTTGAGTTAAGGTACCTATACAAAATACATAATTTTATATTTAAAAATGTTGTTTTTGTTCTGACAAACGATTTTTGTGAATTAATATAATATTATCTCTTCAATAGGGTTTTTGATAATAAACAAAGAATAACACGGTGGGCTTCGATTAACTTTTAATCAAAAGTTTTGATTGTAGACTAGAGGAACTCAATTTAATATAGTTTTTTCCTGTAGGAATGTGGATTATTACACTTACTATACAGGAAAGTTGTTCACTGGTTGCCTATCGTTTCATATCTGAGTTACTGTAATCTTCCACCAAATAGAGCTTGAAAAAATCTGTTGATGCCATATAGTAAGTCAAAACCCACGTTTTTTGAGTTACTATAGTCTTCGTTGCATGGGTCGGGTCGATATATAACAATCACATTCAGAGTATACCTCCTCGCTTCAGCTCAGAAAATTTTGGCAGTCTTATAGTCTTTTCATTAATTCGGTACAGATCTCGTTTGCAACTACTGCACAATACCACAGGCAGTCGGTCATCTTCGTCTTTATATTCAAAATGTTTCTTAACAAGTAATTTTATTCCTTCCTTTATGAAAAACATTGTTTTAGTTTTTCCAAAACAAAACAAGCCAACCTGCAAACGATTTTCTTCGTGCGTTCTTGCTTTCGGCATTTTTAATTTATAAATTTAATGTTTGACAGCAATTTATACAAAAATCGAGTCGCAAAACCCTCTACCAAATATTTCCATTCGTGTCTTAAAATACTCGTAAGGCATCGTAGAAGTGATTTTTAAAAAGATCCAATCGGTGCAAGCACTTTTGATTAAAAGTTGATCGAAGCCCACCGTGATAACCTTTTGATAGTGTGATCATTATAAATAGTATAATATTTTTTTATCTATAAACTCAAAACATGTCACTAAAATCTCCCAAAGCCAAAATTAAGGTTCAAGTTTTTAATGATTGCAGATCCTTACTCGTCTTCCCAAGGACACACATCGTTGCTTTTGGCTTCGACCTCACCATCACCTGCTGAAGTGGTAGTTGATTCTGCCGCCTCCGGAACTTCTTCGGAAATTTCAGACGGCGGTACTTCGCTGGCGGGAGACTCGCTGTCGGGAACCGCTAACGGTGCCAGCGGTTCCGCCGCCGCTACGACGGTCTCCTCTGAAGTTTTGCCGTCGTCGTCGTCATCAGTGCATTCTGTTTCCGTCGGCAGGTCATCCGCCGCAGAACTGACACTGATAATTGGGGCCACTGCGAAAGTTTTCGCCAGAGATTGGCTTTTCGATAACGTTTTATTGGTATTAGTACTAGTGATAGAACAGTCCGATTTTTCACTGGGTAACGCGCACACCGAGGTGGACGACGTCGTGGATGTTTTGTCCTCGAAAGAGGACACTTTCCGCTTGGCGCCGTCGCTGCTGTCGGCAGTAGGGTGCGTTATGGGGACCGACACCGATGCGCGACGCACTGGCTCCGCAGTCTTTGCGGACAGGTTTCTACCACAGCCGCCGCCATCTAACGTGTGCTGTTGCTGCAAGATGCTCGTCCTTTGTACCTAAATTAACAGGGTCTTTAAAAAAAATTACGTCAGCGTCTAACGATCTATCTCTAGAAGCTCTACAACTATGGGTGATAAAACTGTTGGTACTACTATAATTTAGAGTCCCTGTATATTTTTTTAAAACCACAATGATATTTTTGCTAAACATTTTGATAAAAGCTATTCGGGGACAATTCTGATGTCCTGATAAAAATAATAGATATCTATTTTGTATATCCGTGGATTCAAATCGGAAAGTCGCTTTTAGTTGTTGTAATGGAAACGGTATATGGGGCAGTTAATTTTTAACATTTGGTAGTTTAAATTTTTAGGCTTTACGAAATATAACATATATGTTATCACTTTGGAATTCAATACACTCTTTATTTTGTTTATTATGCTATAGTAATTTATGATTCTCATCTGGCCGACCACTTGAGGAGTCGTTATGGAAAGACCAAATAACCAAGTTTTGGTACAGTTACTAGTATTAAAAATTAACATTAAAAAGAGTGTGTAGAATGTAGTTGAATTCTTTAATTGTTGTAAGGGAGTAAATTTAACTCTTGATTAAACAAGTTCATTTATTAAATTTACAATCAGTTTGTGTTATAAATAGTGGTACTGGGTATATTTATTTTTATTGTTGCTATTATAATCCAAGGTCACAAATATCATAATAAGTGATTAATTATTCAATATTTAATTAAAACTATATTTTACTATAATTTTATCTTGTTCTTGTAAAAGAAGGAATAAGCTGAACTTTGTATCTTAATGGTTGTGGTTGGACAAAACAAATTTATTTCAATCATTATTTTATGTTTATAATTATAATATTTTAAATATTATATTTATATTACATTTAATTTAACATATTATATTGTAATGTAATGTACCATTTTACTACATATTTCTATTTAACATTTACAAACTTTAATTTGTTTGTTTCAAAGTGGTCCAAAAGCCCAAAAACATGGTCAAAATATGCAGGTTTAGTTCTATGGTTACCAAAACAGGGAATAAGAGTTTTTAGGGTCACTGATTACAAATTTTTAAAAACAATTGTTTAGTACTTACGTATCCAGAACTGTATTCATAACAAAAAGGGATTATAAATTAATTTCTTTAAACTAGACGATTACCTGTTTTGTCCATAGGTAGTTTTTTGCTTTTGTTAATATTCTTTTCTAATTATTAACGTGCCCCCCTTGCCCCGTTCATTACACCGTGTGAATCACGAAATCTTTGAGAGAATCAAGGTAACGAAAAAAAAATTTCTTGATTATAGTGAATTATTAGGAATAAGACGTACCAGAATGATGCAAAATAATGTTAAATCGACTTAAAGACGTCAAAAAACATACAGACACTCTTCAACTATCTACTAATACTTTAGAACTCAGTAACAAACTAATTATATCACTTACCCTATCTGTGATATCGGCAACGGCAACACTGATATCTGAGGACGAGCTTCCAGAGTCTAACTGCGCAGAGTTTTTTCTGCTGCGCGGTTCCTGCGCAGTTGCGGGGGGTCCTGATTCCCAAGGACACACGTCCTCGGAGGTGGAGGCGCCGGCAACAATGGCGATGCTCGGTTTTTTCACTCTAAATTAACCAATCAAAACACGTTTGAGAGGTATTGAATAAGGAAGAAAAATCAGGACTGATGAGATTTCTCTATACTATTTTAGGTTTGGATTTAGTTCGTTTATTAACTGTGCATGGATAAATAAATATATTTAAAAATATGTATTTGTTACAAATGTTAAATGGTATGGTTTATAAGCATAGTGGACGCCTTCGCCATTTTTGCAAGCATAGAGAAAACTTCCAGTTGTTGGTATTTGGCGTTTTTATATTGGTAACACTGGTGCAACATTTATATTTTGTAATGGTGTATAACACAACTTTTGTACAACATTTATATTTGGGGTAGTTTTATTTACATGCTTAGGTTTTTAGATAGGCATGTAGATTTGATATCCTCGTATTTACCAAAGTCGACAAACAAATGTTGGGTTAAATATCAAATATATTACTAGTACACAATATCATATTAAATATTTTAAAAACGTAGCAAATAGACTTAATTATACAGTAGATACCCTAGAAAGCTGCAAAAAGCGGAAGACAGAAAAGATGGTTAAGATATGACAAAATCCAAACAAATATTTAAAGATATAATATTAAATATTATTTGTTTAAATTTTGATGAAACTAAATGAGAAGCTACACCAAGAAAACAACGATGATCACAAAAAACAACAACCATCCATTAACCAACCATTTACAAGTCAAAACAATTGAAAAAACATTTAAAACGGCGAGTTTTTGAAAAATACAACCGAAAATGTTTTTTTCTACGACCACTATGTAATTTGATCATTACAGTAAAAGTCTTAATAACTGAAAGTTAGTCATTACGCACACGTGCGTAATGGTAATAAAAAAACACACTTTTAGGGTTTTTCTGTCTATTTTGTTTTTTTCTGGGGATTTTTGTTTATATTATTAAGGTTATGTTGGTAAAGCTGCTGTGAACTGTCAATATTTGACGACTGTCAGTGTACGGCGATGAAACTTGAACACAAAAATTTTGTAATAAACTACATAGAATTATCAAAAAATATATTTAATAAATCTGAAACTGCTGCTAATGTATATCCGGCTCGAAACATTGATAGTATACTAGCCAATTGCAATAAAAAAAGTGGAGAAACTTCTGTATTTAATGATTCTGAAACTATTAATGTGGACCAGTCGGTAAACAACGATAGTATAATTGTCAATTGTAATAAAGAAAATGCAAATCCTTCCCTTACGTTTAATAATTGTACAGTTACCATTAATAATTACTATAAAGAAATGTAAGTGGTTCATTAGCATAAATAAATTAAAATTTTTGGGAGTTTTTATTTTTTATTTTTTTTAAGGCGAGCAGAGTGTGGTCGTAGAAAAAGTATAGTACACAACTCGTGTGGGAAGGCAAATTACGCATTCGTGGAAATGCGCACTCGCTTCGCTCGTGCGCAACTTTTTCCACTCATGCGTAATTTGCCACTTCCCACACTTGTTGCGTAATATACTATTATTTTGGAGCTGTTTAGATTTCATAAATTTACAATTCATTTCTCCCTTAAGTTATTAAATCGTCCGATAATGGCGACTTCAAGAACTACAGGGACAGAAGTAGTAAAGAAATAAAACACCACTTCTTGGAGGCCAACTTTGGTCAACAAACAAAAAATAAATCCTTTCTGGCTATTAAGTGACAATGTTCTTCAGGTTACCATTTTCGGTTGTTTTTTCTGGTTTCGCACGTCACGTCAAATAAAATAAAAAATGAAGAACGTCATAAAACGTCATTCGGCGAGCGAGAGAGAACAACTTACGGGCTGGGCACTGCGACAGCCATCGAGGGACCGGAATTTGAGGTTATGTTCACCAAATCTCCCCTGGAAGTGAAGCATCAACTCCAACTATTCTAACTACTTACTAAGTCGCAAAAATATCTGATGCATTAAATGTAAATATGTTCTCTTTTAGGTTTTAGGTTTGCAGCAAGAGAGTTATTAAGATTTCTTGCTGCCAACCATGTTCTGCTCTTCTTTGTAGATAAACTTTTTATTTAGATTCGAATTGGATATGATATATTTTCTTCTTCATACTTTTCTATTCTTTATTTTAGGAATTTATTTTCCATATTGTCGTTAGATATTTTAAGAATTTGTACACAGTTTCATAAAGGTTTAATGTAATTGTAATACACTGCCCGTCAAAACTAACGCATAACAAGTAAACAAAATCCAACCCTAAAACGCCTTTGCCAATCTCAAACGAGCAGTAACGAAAATACAGCGCTTAAAAGTGGTCAAAAATGACCACTTTTCAGAAAAATAATCAAAAGGGGGTCATTTTTACAGACTTTAAAGCGCTGTATCTTCGTTACTGTTCGTTATTTGTACAAAATTTTCAGGGTATACTAAAAAAATACGGTCTTTAACAGCATATTTTACTTTTTTTATTATTAAATAAAAAGGCTTTAAAAATATTTTCTCGAAAAACCCTCGAACACGTAAACTGAGATATAAGTATTTTTATACAAAATTTCATAAAGATTGGTAAAGGTGTTTTAGAATTTTTTTACTTATTATGTGTTAATTTTGACGCGCAGTGTGTTTTTGAAAAAAAATATTTAAAAATACATAATAATATATTTATATGTAGGTATATAATGTCTCTTTAGAAACGAGCAATTCTCTATAAGTCTGTACCAAAAAAAGATATCAAAAATTTCTCAAAACCGTTTCTAGGATATGTGGGGGAATCAGTATGGCCACAAAAATTACCTTTACTAAGCAACCCCTGAGTCTGAAGATACTCCAACTCAATTTTTAATGGCAACCCCCCTTGTTATACTTCATGTAAAAGCTCTTAAAAATTGCTATTTAATATACTTATTTTTAGAATTATTTATTCCAATTTCTTGTTATAAATATCAAATTAAAAAGAGTAGTAAAAAAACTGGAGGATACAAAATAGCTCTAAAAAATATAATAAACTAAAAAAGCATAAATATCTTACATCTTACAAATACTAAAAAACATTTGCTTCAGCGATAAGTGTACTATTTATCTTAATGGAAATGTTAACAAACAAAATTGTCGTTATTGAAGCAATGAAAATCCTCATCTCATCAGGAATTTTTAAAGATAATTTTTTTGATAATAATAGTCCCTTATTTATTGACCAAAATTTGAATAGTCAAATTTAATTTGGTATGTGGATAAAAAAAATACAGCCAAAGAGGAGAGGATGACGAAGTAGCTTAGGATTAAAATGTATTACATTTTTAACAAGATGGGGCACCACCTCATTATGTAGTAGCTGTTAGGGCTTGGCTGGATCAGAATTATTCAGAACAGTGGATTTTTAGAAGATGACCAGTAGAGTTGCCTCCCAAATCTCCAGATCTGACACCATTAGACTTTTTCTTATGGGGTCACTTAAAATATGTAGTCCACAAAATTCAGCCTCATTCTCTTGAAGATTTGCAACAACAAATAGCTTAAGAATGCCGAGCTATTCCACGACATTTCAAAATTTTCGAAGGGAATTTTGATCATTTAATTTAAAATGCTAAAAATTAAAGTGTTTTGATTATTCTTGAACAATTTGTTTACTTATGCATTTTTAGTTTATTATAATTTTGATATCCATTTTTACTTATGTTTTTAAGATAACCAACTGGTTTAATTTGATTTTTAATTGTTTAATTTGATATTTACAACGAGAAATTAAAATAAATAAATATAAAAATTATTTTTCGTTTTTTTTATAATAAACTATTAAAAGGTATTTTTTAAATAGCAATTTATTAGCTTATTAAGTTGAGGTGGCTACAGTTCCAGGAGTTGCTAAATAAGGTCATTTTTGTGGTCACACTGATTTCCCTCACATATCCTAGAACCGGTTTTGACATTTTTTTTTATATCTATTTAAGGTTCAGACTAGAATAGAGCATTTCTTGTTTTTAAATATTGGTACATTAACATTTTTTTTTGCTTAAAGCTTATCTATAAATAAACGCAGAATATTCCTAATATTAATAAAGAAATTAAAATTAAAATATATGTCGCCCTAACTTGAAAAAACATTGATGGGCGGCCCATAAAGCCATGCGGCCGTGCAGCCTCTACCCTTTTGTGGTCAAAGACAAAAGTCATGATTATCTAATCTTTAAAAAGAAACAATAAAAATAAATTTAAAAACACTTTGTTTTGCCTTTGACAGTTTACCACACTTCGTCCAGAGTACCTCCTTTTAAGCACAGTATAGTTGAGTTATAATTGTCAATCATACAGTTTTTTGGTTCAAAATAATATTTTTGTATTTTTAAGTATTTTTTATGAGATTTTAACTTTTTCGCCAGTTAAAAAAATAATTTTCTAAAAGAGAAAACAAAGGAAAATAATAAAGAAGGTGAATAAAACGAAAAAAGGAGGTGGGAATAATTAAAAAATGGGAACGACAGGGATAAAGAAAACAGAAAACAGGAACAAAGATAAAGAAAGGTAAAAATTCTAAATAATCAAAAATGAGCAGAAAAGGAGAAAAAGGGAAGAACCTAATGAGATTTATGGGAAAGATTCTCAATTTTTAAGGTTGTTTAGATTCTAAAATTATTATTGTTAAGTTTTTTTCAAAATCAAGTTTTTAAAAGTGTACCTAATCAGTAATAAAAGACGATAAAAAAGTTAAAAGTATTAGGTATAAGTTTTCACTTTAGAATTCGATACACTCTTTATTTTGTTTGTAATGCTATAGTAATTTTTGATTCTCATCTGGCCGACCACTTGAGGGAGACCAAATAAGCAGGTTTTGGTACGTTAAGTGCAATGTTTAAATGTAAAATCAATTTGTGTTTTAAATAGTTGTCTAAAAACTATGTATTTTTGTTTTATAATTAGATAGGTCTCTCTATTTTACTATTATTTCATCTTGTTCCTTGCGACAGAAGGAATAATCTGGACCTTACATTTTAAGGTTTGTGGTTGGACAAAGCAAAATACAAATTTATTATAATCATTATTTTATGCTTATCATTCCAATATTTACATTTTACTTCAAAATATTATATTGTAATGAAATGTACCATTTTACTACATATTTCTATCTAACTTTACATACTTTATTTTGTACAGTTTATGTTATTTTATTTATTTGATAAATTGATATTCATTATTTCTTCACAACAAATATTTGTTAGAATTTTCTTTCTATTGTTTAACGGTTTTGATAAGACTAAGTATTACCAGTAATTATCAATCAATCCATTTTTACAATGAATGTTACGCCCATGATGTAAGTTTTTGTGACACTGTATTATCTTATTAATATTATTATTATCATTTTATATTGCATAATTAAAATCAGGTATAATATTGTAATAACAATAACTTTACAAATATAATGAGGTAAAATAAAGTACCTAATAAAATTACTTTACTATTAATAATACAATTAAATTCCACTACTGTACAACTTGTTATTTATATATTTTATTTACCAATACCATTTATTATTATTGTTTGTAATATAAATTATATTATACTTAATGTTTCACATTGCTGTTGTTTGTTGCTGTACATTGATAATTATTTCAATTGCCTTTCTTCACCATCCGAGCCTATATGATAATATAATTGATAATATTTGTATTGATTACTTTGATTTTGTTGTAATTATATTAATGAGATGTGTACACATATGCATGTCTGGATTGTATATGTGGCTTCTTAAGGTTTCATCCTATTAACTTAAATTGATGATAATTTTCAAATTTAAATGTTTTTTTTTTATAATATTAATTTACAGTAAAAATAATATTAATACTTGTATTAATAGCCTTTATTAATAAACTTTTTTTATTTATTACTTTTCCTTTGTTTTTTAAATATATATTTTCAATTACTTAAGTAATTATGTATCCAAAACCGCATCCACAACAAAGAAGGGTCCTAAATTAATTTCTGTAAATTGTACGATCACTTGTTTTGGCCAAAAGTAATTTTTATGTGGTTTTATAGTCGTTTCTAATTATTAACAAGCCCCTATCCCCATTTGTTTCAATAAAAAAAAATGAGAAATAAAAAGAAAAATAAAGAGAAAAAGATTATGAAAAATACCAAACAATGAAAATACATATTACAAGTAAGGGGAATATGGGGGAGAATAAAGATTGGTTTTTATTTTTTTACGTATGATTTTTATCAAGTTTTTTCCAAAAACCATTTTCTAAAAGATAAACCAGAGGAGGTAATTAAAAAGACAAAAGGATAAGAAACACTGGAAAGATATAAGAATATAATTATAATTAAGGGGTCAGAATAGAAAGGGTATAAATGCAATTTCTTTAATTTAGGAGATAAGTTCGTTTTGTAAAAGATGAGATTCCGATGTATCGGAATAAAAAGGATTTAAGTAATTTCCAATACTCCTAGCGACATTTCTTATCTAGTAGAAAAATCAAGTGAACAAACGTGCTTATTTGTTCAGAATAAAAAGGATACAAATGCACTTGTTCCAGACACTTTACTACAAACAAGGGAATGTGCTCTGATTAAAGTCTGCTTTGCAGAAATTTTTGTTTGTTTCGTTCGCCGATTTACTGCTAATTAGTCATGGAAAGTGATAAAGGTAAGTTCCCATGTTATGTTATAATATTAAAATGATTAATTAACAAAAATCTGATGACTACATTCATTGTATGCTTTAATCTTCAGCAGCCTTTGCCAACGCCACTTTTAACAACTTCGAAAGTGTTTTATTTAAGACAGTTATGGACATATTTTGGCATTTATGATTTAATAAAGAATGAAGCTAATTTGTATGTTTAATTTAAAAGGAAATTCCCGCAAGTACATGATATGACCAATTCATTTGCTCATTTTAATGATATCATAAGCGACCCCAAAAAGGACGCAAAGAGAAAAATGAACTGGCAGATTTCTCACTTTAAATACACAAATATTCGGAAACATATTCATTTCAGTTTAAGCTCACATTAGATGATGATTTTGCTTTTTTGACATGCAATTGTCCTTTTCTGGGTAATGGTCGGCCACCAACCGATTTGCAGAAAATATTCTGTTCCATGTTAAATGAAAATCCTATCCCTATTTCGGTAGAAAAATGGAAAAATTTACAGACACTACTCTGTACCACCAGTGTATCACAGCTTCTATAAAAATCTCAAACATGGAGCTAAAAACTATAGCTCCAAAGGTAAGAAAACGAAAAATAAAACTTCCAGAACCACTGCCTTGAGTGCGTTGACGTCAAAAAATACACAAAATATTGTTTTAAGTGGCTCTGATTCCGAATTTGATCAAGACGTAGATGATATACTACTGAACTATGATTCCGACAGTTATGAATAGAAATTTTATTACTGTATGTTTTCCCACTTTCTGAATAAAGTTTGCTTTTTAAACCAGTGTTTATTTTATTTTTCACTTTACAAGGCAAACTTTTTGGAATAAGAAGGGTATAAGCCCTGTTTTTTCAAAAATTAGATGTAATTTTAAACACAACTTCAGAACTAAAATTTAACTATATATTGTTTATTAAAAATGATTTAAAACATTACTAAAAAAAAATCTTGTTTTTTTATAGTAACAGAACTTTAACTTTAAATATCTCCAAACAATGAAAATGTTACTTATACCCTTTTTATTCTAACCCCTTAATTATTAAAAACATTTTAAATTGCAGAGAAAGAAAGGAAAGGTGAGGAAATAAATCAGGAGGGACTCTGCAAAACGTAATTTTTAATAAAATTATTATTTTAGGATGAAGAAGTCTTTGCTATTAACTCAATCAAGTTTTAGTGGAAAATGTAAAAAAAAAGACCTTTTAATTCAAAAAATCTTCAAAAAATTTGTTTTGATCAAGTTTTGTAAGTCGATGTAGTTTAGCTTGAAGCACCTAACTGCGCCTATCCCTAAAAACGGAAAAATTGCGTTTTGCAGAGTTTATTTACAAAAGTTTATTTACAAAAGTGCTCTTTTAGTTCCACCCTTACTTCTTAAGAAGTCCCATAATGGTTTGTGCGGGTTAGGGGTAGGAACGGACCGCGGGCTTAAAGTCCCCTCCGAAGGACTATTACACAATAGGACAACACAAATAAACAGCCATACCCCTGGTGGGATTCGAACCCACGACCTCCGGCTTGTAGTCAGCTGCACTAACCACTCGACCACCGTCGGCGATTAGCTTCTTAAATAGTAAAAAGACGAAAAAGAAGATGTAGATAAGGAATAGGAAGAAAGAATTGGAGGAGGGCGATGATAAGAAATATAAAAAATATGAGCAAAATTGAAGGAAAAGGAAGATAAGAAAAATATAGGTAACGAAGAAAAGAGAATCCAAAATTGTTTCAACCATAAACACTGTTTATTAAACAGTATATACCGTTGTTTTATACTGTGTTTAGAGGAGGAGCTTTGGACTGGCCCTGTGTTCATTGAGCTCACCTGTAAGGTATGTCGCTGAGGTTGCTCTGGGAGTGCGAGTGCGGAACTTTGGAGTCCTTGACGCCGCTAATGGCGAGCTCGTGCGCCGAACCACTCAGGGAGCGGTCGCTGCCCCTGCGTTTGGAGAGAGCACCGCATGTGACGCTTCCGCCCGACGCACCGCCAGACTGTTGCAGCAGGTTCTGGATGGGCGCCGTGCTGGTCGACGCCTTCTTCTTCGTTTGTCCGAAACCAAAAAATCTGAAATAAGGTTTTTTTGAGAATATTCACAGAACGCTAGTTTGATACTTTAAACTTACCTTTTCTTTTGTATAGGATAGTTCCCGTTGGCCAATAGGGTCTTGTAGTATTCGGATCTAATAAACCTAGGATAACAATCTTTTTTAAGCAGCAAAGTATACACATGTTCTTGGGCAGCATCGAACGTAAAACGGCTTGGGTTTTTCATTTCTTGGTGCACCTTTTCCATCGTCTTGCCGTCTATATTTATCTCACATGGAGCACCAGGAGCCAAAAATTCTCTACAAAAAGCTATTAGTAAAACAATTTTTTTGTGCAAAAAAACTTACTCAAAAATTTTGCTAACTTTCCATTGGATATGGGATTGAGCAGATCGTCGTAAGTCATTGACGGCCATCCAAAATCGGATGTTTTCGTGACTATATTCTTTTCTTAGGTAATTTGTAAATTCGTGCAGACCTGTCGGGTCAGATACCAACTCTTCCACTGAAAGTCCCCATCTTTTTACTCGCATTGTAGTTGGACAGTCAACCCTTAAATATAAAAAAAACATTTAGTTCGTGGTCGCACTCCACAAAATGCTTGGGAATTAAAGTAAAGATATTTTTTTTTATGTATTTTAAACCCTTGTATTAAATAAATCGAATTTAATATAGCGTCGCACTTTATTCGGGACTAAAAGGTATTGGTTTAGGATTAGGACACTTACAAGGGACTATTGAGTTGCCAGTAAGTGGTGTCTTCGGTTACCCAGGGATTCGAAGGTAGTTGAGAGTTTGTCAGTGGATCGTAGTCGTTATAAGTTTCTACGTGCTGAATCATGCTCTCCAATGCCTGAGACACTTTTACTCTTGTGCGAGATAAACTGTTTTTTAGCAGCTCCACCTAAAAATTTTAATTGAAAATTAAATTAATTCATCGCCATAAAAAAACTGCTGACGCTTTTTGATGCTCGACATATAAACTCCATAAGGTTACAAATAGCAACTGATATAGTAGTATTTAGACGTCAAAACTCGCTTTTAATTAAATTCTGTAATTGTTAAGGGTGGTGATAGATAACCGCGTAATATATTAATGGAATAAATAAAGCTATGTCACTGGTGTACGTTCAAAGTAAATACAAGTTAATGAAGCTAAATAGCTATCCTAGTGGAGTGACTAGCCAGACAATTCAACAATGAATTTATGAAAACATGATGCTATACCAACAACATTTAATTTTTTGGTTACGTGAATTTCTAAAGTTTATTAAATGAGTTGTGTTATTTTTTATAATAATAGGACAAACAATATTGTAATTGCAATATTATTTTTTTAAGCTTACAACTATGTTTATATTATGTACGTCTATATTAAAAGACTTCATATTAATACTAGTTCCAAATTCAAATTATTATAAACCTCCGTACAAAAATAAAGCTAAAATGTCAGTTAAACATAACATAAAAATGAATACAAAAAAATAGTAAGTATGTGGGGCGATTTTTTATTATAAACTGAATAAATTACAAGGGCTTGAATATTTTTATATAATTAAGGTATAGGCCTACAACTATTTAACATTTTATTTAGTATAGTATGATATTAAAAACGAAAATTTTTATTTCAAATTAAAGTGAATTGTTTAGGCGTCATTAGTCTGCCGAAATTTAAATTTGACTTTGCCACGTTTTAAATTAACACAGAAAACGAAAAGGCGGCGTAAAGATAGGTATCTATGTTTGTGTTTGGTGGAGATGTTGACAGTTGCCTTATTGTCGTGGAATTTGATGTAAAAACGTAAAATTTTGTCTTTGTATAAATACAGGGTGTTTAAAAAATGGCGCACTGACGTATACCAGTGTTACCGGATTCTTTTTTGTTTTAATAATTTTTCTGCCTTCTAATAAATCTTTGGTAGTTTTAAGGTTACTTTAATTTGACGTATTACTTATCTACATAGATATTAAAACTAAATAAAAAACGACAAAAAATATAATACCATTTTAGTAGTCCTTCTTGGCCGATTATCAAATATTGACCCGTATAAAACCCGGCAGCGAAAGCTTAAAAATTTTGTTTTAAATTATAGAATAAAGGAAAAAAATTACCTTAAAATAAAAATATATAAAAATGTTTTATGTTCAAAAAATGTAACGCAAGATTGAAAGCATGGCCTTTTTATAAAGGATCAGATTACTGTCGTGGAAAACGTGATCCTGCATCTAAATTTTCTATGATAAATGATACCGTTAAAGGATTTACATTTTATTTTGTTAAAATTGATTTAATCCTATGTTCTGATCTATAAATATAATTAAGTTATTTTCAGATCAATTTGAAGTATCCTGTTATCTTATTGTATCTTACCTCTCTTTTTCCATCTTCAATAGTCCTTTTTCTGGTCCTGGAGCCATTCCAGCTCCTTGTCGGAACAGGACATGACTCCAAAGTGGTAACAACTCCGGGTGGTGGTCTGTGAACTCTCCAGTAAGCTCTTTCCTGAGAATCGCTCACGATTTTATCGCCCTTTTTCAAAACTTTCGATAGCTTAATCTAAAACAGAATTTTCAATTGGTCACGAAACAAAACAATAATTAGGTTTCCAGTATTTTCGCTTTGCAGTCAGCATTTAAATTGGATGCTAAAAGTCGCCGCAGATAAGATTAGAACTCTCGAATGTATTAGGAATATTAAGATGAAAAATGCGTAAAATTTTCAGAGGAAGAAATTTTCATGATTATCATAAATGGGAGTTACCTAAACAATACTTATGTTGAAAGAAGTTATGCAAAAAAATTATATAATATAAAGGATGTTACATTTCATTTCGTTTTCAATTGTTGGCAAATATTAATACTTCGCAACAGGCTATTTATTTATCCTTAGAGACAACTAGGAAATATATTTGCCTGAATTAAATATATTCCAACTTTTGCTGAACTTTCCATTTTTATTTAAACCTTTAAAGTCTTAAGTGTTTTATATTAAAAAACTGATCCTTACTTACAAACTTTTAAAATTTAATAATATAGCGAAAGATTTATACGTTTTTATATAAAAACTTGGAAAAGAATTCGTAATTAACGGTATTTCTTTGAAAACAATCCCCAAAATAATTCAATAAGGGTTTCTGTAATTCTCATATCACATCATAGTACGATAATTATACACTATTATACTTTTTTATTTATAAAAATTGATGTTCTATACGCCAAAGTTACCGCACCTTGCATGAATTTTAAGGTCGACGTATAAAATTTAAAGTGACTAAGTCAGTTACTAATCAGATCAAGGCTAAAGCTTAATTTTCATTTATCCCTTTGTCCGTTAGTCGGTTCATGCGAGAGCGCTCTTATTGGTCCAATTATAATTCGAAAATTATGACATTTTATCGGTCCGTTACAAATCTGTTTTTGACGCCTAACGTTATTTTAATTTATTTTCAAATCTTTTAATATTTTTTAAATAAGATTGTACAACGGAAATATTACGTTTGTTATGTTATGTGAATAATGTTCTACTATTATGTTTTTATTTAATAAGAATAACAGAAAAAAAGAAAAGACAAACAAAAAATATTAAAACTAGAACTAAAAGGACCGGTTTTTTTAAAACTATACATTTTAATGTATATTAAGGCTAGTTATATTCTTTTTATAGGGTATATTTACCTACCTTTAAATTTATTAGACAGCTGACTGTTAAAGTGACAATTATTGTTGATATAATTGTAACTGAGTGAATCTCACGAAATTTCCCCCGATGGTGTAACCCCGTGATATTTAATAAAACTAAATGAGTTTGACCTACACTTTTATTGTGTTTTGATCTTTCACAATTAAGTAGATATTACAGCTCAGGTTCCAGATTTTTAACCGCGATTAATTATTTTTAAAAGTCTAAAACCTATCCTCTGTGACTGTTTCTCTTTCTAGGTTAACCTATATGTTTTCAAATATCTGAGGTAGTAAAAGCATACTAAAAATATCAGTTCACTAAGTAAATTAAACACATCCAAAGCAATCGAATCAAATATAAAATATTATTAAAAATTAAAAGAAATAATTTTTATAACCATTTATGTAGGTGTTACAAAATTTGATTCGATTCTCCGTGAATCTGTTTTTGCTTTAAATTTTATGCGACGGATGGCGCTTTAATTATTTTAAATAAACAAAAACCTCTGTTTACGACATTATAGATGCGTGTGATTCCTGAAGGTCAGTTAGAATTTATATGAAGATGAGAGTGTTGCTGTTTTATAATTCAAAAGTTTAAGTTCATTAATTTGCTATTTAAAAACATATCCACTGTGAAGTGTAAAATCTCAGTAAGTAGATTTTTTGTATAAATATTTTATGTATGTATGTATTTTATGTATGTACATTGTACAATAGGGTGGCGCAAAAAAAACGACTATTTTTTTTGAGTCTCGAGTGAAAAAATGTTACTTTTTGATGTTTTAAGAGGCCTCTCCAAAGGACAACTCAAAAAAAATGTTTTTAGAGGTCGCTCCAAATTTTTTTCTCGGTACGGTATAATTTTACAGACATAAAAAAATAAGTTTCTGAAAGTTTCAGATCAAAATTTAAATTTTGAAAGGTCGCTCATAATTTTTTTAAATTTATCAGTGCATTACTTTAGATTTTTTCGAGCGACCTTTTAATATTCACATTTAAATTCCATGCATTTTTTTTATTTAGTACAATAATCGATAAAAATACACCAGAGATGAACTAAAAATCAAGCACAATATAGAAAACATAATTTTTTTTCAATTTAATAATTTTATTTATCTACGCCAGTGAGATAAGAACTTCTTATCCCACTCATTTTGAGTGAGATAAGAAGTTCATTAACGCACGCGTTTTTCTCTGCTTTTAACCAATCAAATAAAAAGTCAAAATGTCAAAATAACCCTAAATTAAGTCTTAGACAAAAATAATTACCGTTTATTTTTTCATTTAGAGGCGTAGATAAAAATTTGTACAATATACGTGTGATAACGCTTTATTAACGTACTTTTGCGATTGCCCAACTCGTGCTACGCACTTGTTGGGCAAATTTCGCATGCGTACGTTAATAAAGCTCTTATCCCACTTATATCGTAAATAACTATTAATCAACTACAACATTTTGACGATTTTTGAAATTTAAAAAAAGCGACCTCTAAAAATAAAATTTTTTTGAGCTGTCCTTTGGAGAGGTCTCTTAAAACATCAAAAACTAACATTTTTTACTCGAGACTCAAAAAAAAATAGTCGGTTTTTTTGCGCCACCCTAATCTACAATTGTATTTTTTAAAAATATTAAGGTGTCAAAAGATACAATAACTTGTTTCAAATATACAAAGGGATGTTTAAAAAAAACATACGAAATCCTAACCTCCGTGAAGCTATCTTCCGTGAATCTCTAATATTCAAAATGTATGATTTCTTAAAATTGTTGCATTAGTGCAGAACCACTTATGTTATGTTATTACTAAACCTGGTGGTTCCCAAAAACCCCATTCTAGATTAACAGTGAAACAACCAAAAATAAAAAATAATCATTTTCACTTGGGGGACATCTCAATATATTTACCCAACTATGACAATTAAGCATTAGGTAAATTTAGTAAAGGGAATATACAGACCCTTAATTTCTATTTGTCGCCAAATCAATCCGTTAAACATCATTAAAAATGCATGAAAATTAGAACATTTCTTATCGGACGATTTGATTGAAAAACGGACAAACGGATACTTGAAACCTAAGCGATTTTAAGGTTTTATAATTTTACGTAGTGGTTTTGTAATCTGACCACCAAGCTCCTGCATTTAGGACTTTTTGATGTAATACGTTTTTGCCGCAAAGTAAAATTTTAGAATTGCCCTTACATTTAATTTATTTTAAACCGGGTAATTGAAAACTGCACATTAAAATTAGTATTTCGGTTTAGAGAAAACTGCCCTTACATAAATAAATAAATGGCTAGAGACATCCCAACAGTAGGATAAATTTAAAAAATGGTAGCAAAAACTCGCGGTGTCATAAATTTAAAAAAATATAGGAAAAATTCACACAATAGGATAAATTCGCACAGTAGCACAAAGTAAAAAAACAATAAAATTTACAAAGATTTTAAAATTACCATTTTTTTTTTTTAATTTTAAAAAATTTAAGTTGTTCAAAAATTTTAAATTTTTAAAATAATCAAAACACTTAAATTTTATATTTTTGAAATAATTCTATTTAACATCTTTCTTTAAACCTTTTATTGTTTTGCACTAACATAAATTAATTGAATGCGGAACCATTTTTTCAAAGAATTTAAAAGAACAATATTAGATTCTTATATTTACAATAATTTTTGATAAAATTTAACCGAGTTTTTGCAAGCATATTAAAACATTGTTTACATAACATTAAATTTTCAGGACATTACACAAATTATATTTAGACGTATTATGAATAGATGTGTAATCTAATAATATTGTTGTGTGTACTATTTGCTTCATTATGGGCATTTAAACTAATTGGCTGGTCACAATACTAATTACAATAATTGTTAAACTAGTTATTACTTTCGGTGTTGCACTAATTAAATAATTTCTATGACTGTGCGCAAGATTTTATCTGCTACATGAAATCGACATAAAAAATGTAATTTTCCCTAAACTAAATAATTGTTGTAGTTATAACTATAGTAGATTTTATCCTGTGGTGTCACGAAGGCTAATTTTGTTTTGTTTGATAAAATATGTTTTTTTTATTGGTTTAGTTTTTTGCAATTTTATACAATGTATTTTTTCAGCGATTTTTTATGTCTTAATAAAGTTGGGTCCATAACACAGTGCAAGCCAAAATGTTAAACCAGATTTAATTGGTTTTACCTTTAATAGTAAAACCCTCGCTGGGTTAGCTCGAATTTTTATCTATTATCTTATATAGTTTTTAAGTTTTAAGTTACTAATTGTAAATTGGCATACAAATATTTTATCAAAGTAGTTGATGTTTCTTTTATTCTAAATGTAATTTACTTTTATGAACAATTTAGTTTTAAGGGTCAAGTGTTCATAAAATTGATTTTTTACTATTTTTTTGGGCTAACCCACTTATTATTATATTTAAACAATTTGGCAAAAATGTAGTTTGAAGTGTAAGCCATACACAGTGTTGCCAACTTAGTAATTTTCTAGTTCTAGGAATTTTTAAACCAATCATTTTAAGATTTTGTTGAAAGCAGAAAGTTTATTTTTATTTTTTAACATATTAAATTTATTTAAAGTTGGTACTGTTTGTTTTATTAGTTTATGGCCACTTGCACCGTAAGTTTAACAGTGGTTTTATTTTTAACACATGTTTATTTTTCATAACTGGATTGCACCGTAAATTAATCCTTGTTTAAATACCTCTGAACTACTGTTAAAATAAACCCCCAATTTTGGTGGTTTAAATTACTTTAATTCACCGTTAACGATTTATAACCTTAAAAGTACTAGTCATCGGTATTTAAGATCTTTTTTTCCAAAGATATTATTTATTGACATCTTTAGCAAATTCAATAACTA